AGGGAGAAAATGTGGAGGCGTGACAGACTTTGTATTTCTAGGTGCAAAGATTACTGCAGATGCAGACTGTGGCCAGGAAATCAGAAGACGCTTATTTCTTGGGAGGAGCAATGTCCAATCTCGATAAAATAGTAAAGAGTAGAGACATCAGACTGGCAACAAAGATCCGCCTAGTCAAAGCCATGGTATTCCCTGTAGTAACCTACGGATGTGAGATGGACCTTAGGGAAGGCTGAGCGAAGGAAGATAGATGCTTTTGAGCTGTGGTGTTGGAGGAAAGTTCTGAGAGTGCCTTGGACTGCGAGAAGATCCAACCAGTCCATCCTCCAGGAAATAAAGCCCGACTGCTCATTGGAGGGAAAGATACTAGAGACAAAGTTGAAGTACTTTGGCCACATCATGAGGAGACAGGAAAGCCTAGAAGACAATTATGCTGGGGAAAGTGGAAGGCAAAAGGAAGAGGGGCCGACCAAGGGCAAGATGGATGGATGGCATCCTTGAAGTGACTGACTGACCTTGAGGGAGCTGGGGGTGGTGACGGCCGACAGGGAGCTCTGGCGTGGGCTGGTCCATGAGGTCACGAAGAGTCGGAGACGACTGAACGAATGAACAACAAGCATTTTAGAGTTCCAGAATATTTGGAATGTATGCTGTACCACTAGTATAGTAGCTCATAGAGTGGTGGTTTTTTTTTCTTCAAATCTTGTCTCTTGCCTTTTGTAACATGGATATTAAATATAGAAAAAAAAATCTGTGTAGGCTACATCATACATTTTTGTTACTATTGCCTTTTTATACTGAACTGTGATTAAATTTGGTCTTAGAAATACCAAAACAGAGAGAGATAGCCTTTAGCCCTCCAGTCCTGATCCTGACTATTAACATTAAGTCTGAAACAACATCCTTGTCTGGCCCCAAAGAGCCAGCCCATTGTCATAAAGTTCAGCAGTATTAACTTTTTTTGATAAGATCTTGGATCATTTTCCTGGGGCTGAAGGAGCTTCAAGCATGTAATAGATTTACTTTGGTAACAAAATGGGATGGAGGTGCCCCTCCCTGCAGCAACACGCCAACCACAGGGTGGAATGCTCCAAGAAATTGTGTGTTCTGCAATAGATAAGCTAGTCGTGAAGGTAGGGCTGGCTGCATATGGGCTGAACATAGGCTGGGACTTGTGTGGCAACAGATATTTGGCTGAAATTTGCCCCAGAAAACATGTACAGTAGAATCTTGATAGATAAGAAAAAACTATATAATGTGTGGTCAAGGGGTGTGGGGGACGGCAACCTTTTTCAAGTACTGTGACCTGCGTGTGCAGTATGGCTGATCTCTTTATGGCCATAATGAAATAAACCTTGCTTTTGCTCTTCTCCTGAGACTGGACATTTTTGCTGTTTGCCTCCTTCAACCAGACCTTCAACAGGGGCTCATATTTGGGGTCCCTTACAAGACGGGGAATAGCTTTGTGGGGAGAAATGGCAACATCCCTTTTTCCTCACATTTGGGGAAAATGTCCTTTGTGTCACGTGATTACCATGTCCGTGAACCCCATACCTTAGGTCAGCATTTCTCAACCTGGGGGTAAGGACCCCGGGGGGGGGGGGGGCGCGCGAGGGAAACCTGTGTACCATTCAAATATTTTCTTACATCAAGACGCAAAATATTATTATTCATTGTATTGTCGAAGGCTTTCATGGCTGGAATCACTCAGTTCTTGTGGGTTTTTTCGGGCTATAGGGCATGTTCTAGAGGCATTTATCCTGACGTTTCGCCTGCATCTATGGCAAGCATCCTCAGAGGTAGTGAGGTCTGTTGGAAGTAGGAAAATGGGTTTATATATCTGTGGAATGACTGGAGTGGGGCAAAGAGCTCTCTGCTGAAGCTAGGTGTGAATGTTTCAGCTGATCACCTTCATTAGCATTTGAAGGCCTGGCTGAGCCTGGGGAAAATTTTTGTTGAGAGGTGTTAAGATGTGCCTGGTTGTTTCCTCTCTGCTGTTTTGCTGTTGTAATTTTAGAGTTTTTTAATACTGGTAGCCAGATTTTGTTCATTTTCATGGTTTCTTCCTTTCTGTTGAAATTGTCCACATGCTTGTGGATTTCAATGGCTTCTCTGTGTAGTCTGACATGGTGGTTGTGAGAGTGGTCCAGCATTTCTGTGTTCTCAAATAATATGCTGGGTCCAGGTTGGTTCATCAGGTGCTCTGCTATGGCTGATTTCTCTGGTTGAAGTAGTCTGCAGTGCCTTTCATGTTCCTTGATGCGTGTCTGGGCAATGCTGCTGTGTTTGGTGGTCCCTATGTAGACTTGTCCACAGCTGCATGGTATACGGTAGACTCCTGCAGAAGTGAGAGGATCCCTCTTGTCCTTTGCTGAACGTAGCATTTGTTGGATTTTCTTGGTGGGTTTGTAGATTGTTTGTATGTTGTGTTTCCTCATCAGCTTCCCTATGCGATCAGTGGTTCCCTTGATGTATGGCAGGAACACTTTTCCTCTGGGTGGATCTTCATCTTGACTCTCGTGGCTTGTTCTTGGTCTTGCAGCTCTTCTGATGTCTGAGGTGGAGTATCCATTGGCCTGGAGAGCCCAGTTGAGGTGGTTCAGTTCATCTTGGAGGAGGTGGGGTTCGCAGATTCCTTTTGCACGGTCTGCCAAGGCTTTAATGGTGCTTCTTTTTTGACTTGGGTGATGGTTGGAGTATTTTCTGTTAGTATATGGGGGTTCTGTGTGCCAAGTTTGGCCCAATTCTATAGTTGGTGGAGTTCAGAATACTCTTTGATTGTAGGTGAACTATAAATCCCAGTAACTACAACTCTCAAAGTTCAAGGTCTATTTTCCCCAAACTCCACCAGTGTTCACATTTGGGCATATTGAATATTCGTGCCAAGTTTGGTCCGGATCCACCATTGTTTGAGTCCACAGTGATCTCTGGATGTAGGTGAACTACAACTCCCAAACTCAAGGTCAATGCCCACCAAACCCTTCCAGTATTTTCTGTTGGTCATGGGAGTTCTGTGTGGAAAGTTTGGTTCAATTGGCCACCTTGATTAGTATTGAATGGCCTAGCAGTTTCAAGGTGTTGCTTCTTACTCTTTGTTGGGAGGTGATTAGCTGGCCTTGATTGTTTCTTGCCTGGAATTCCACTGTTTTTTAGTATGGTTCTTTATTTACCGTTGTGATTTTAGAGGCTTTTTAAATACTGGTAGCCAGATTTTGTTCATTTTCATGGTTTCTTCCTTTCTGTTGAAATTGTCTGCCTGCTTGTGGATTTCAGTGGCTTCTCTGTGTAGTCTGACATGGTAAACCCAATTTTCCTAGTTTCCTACAGACCTCACAGCCTCTGAGGATGCCTGCCATAGATGCAGGCGAAACATCAGGAGAGAATGCTTCTGGAACATGGCCATACAGCCCAGAAAACTTACAGCGACCAAGAACCACACTTGATTCAAGCCTCTAACCTTCCTGACATGGTATCCTTATTAAGTAGGCTATCTGAAATGAATGGGAGAGAAAAGCTGAACTCCAAGGAGGAGAGCTTTTTTCCTGGCTGGCTTGGAATGGGTTAACACCAGCGAGAAGGGTATTCCTAGAGTTGCAGGAAGTGAAGGGGTGGGAGGTGGAGGCAGCACTTCCTCTATTCCCAAGCCCCTCCCCTTCCGGCTGTCTGTGCCAGGGAGCCCAGATGGGCTGAGAAGAGGCTGCAGAAGGAAGTCCGTGGGTCTCTCTCCATGTTTTCCTTTTGACAGAAGGAGGGACAACTCTGCTGTTTCTCTTCCCCAAGAAGGGAGGCCCTGGTGAGTCCCTTCTCCAGGTGATCTGGATTGTATTGAGTCTACACTGGCATATAATCCAGTTCAGAGCAGAAACTGGATTATATAGGGCAGTGTGGATGGGGCCTAACTGTAAGCAACCCCCCCACCCCAGTTACGAAAAAGATATGATTCATGCAATAATTTATTTTAAAGACTAGAATCATAGAGTTGGGAGAGACCTCATGGGCCATCCAGTCCAACCCCATTCTGTCAAAATTGCATTCAAAGCACCCCCGACAGATAGCCATTCAGCCTCTGTTTACACCCAAATACCTGGGAGTAACTCTGGACCGTGCTCTTACCTACAAGAAGCACTGCCTGAACATCAAGCAAAAAGTGGGTGCTAGAAACAATACATACGAAAGCTGACTGGCACAACCTGGGGATCACAACCAGATACAGTGAAGACATCTGCCCTTGCGCTATGCTACTCTGCTGCTGAGTATGCATGCCCAGTGTGGAACACATCTCACCACGCTAAAACAGTGGATGTGGCTCTTAATGAGACATGCTGCATTATCACGGGGTGTCTGCGCCCTACACCACTGGAGAAATTACACTGTCTAGCCGGTATTGCACCACCTGACATCCGCCGGGAAGTAGCAGCCAATAGTGAAAGGACCAAGGCAGAGACATCTCCAGCTCATCCCCTGTTTGGGTATCGGCCAGCATGCCAACAACTTAAATCTAGACATAGTTTTCTAAGATCTACAGAGACACTCGCTGGAACACCTCAGCAAGCGAGAGTCCAAAAGTGGCAGGCTCAAACCCAGCACCTCAACCAATGGCTGATACCAAATGAGAGACTCCCTCCTGGGCACACAGAAGACTGGGCGACTTGGAAGGCATTGAACAGACTGCGCTCTGGCACCACGAGATGCAGAGCCAACCTTCAGAAATGGGGCTACAAAGTAGAATCCTCGACATGTGAGTGTGGAGAAGAGCAAACCACTGACCACCTGCTGCAATGCAACCTGAGCCCTGCCACATGCACAATGGAGGACCTCCTTGCAGCAACACCAGAGGCACTCCAAGTGGCCAGATACTGGTCAAAGGACATTTAATCAACTACCAAACTCACAAATTTTGTATTTTGTCTGTTTGTTTGCTTTGTTCTGTTAGAAATGTAATATAATGGACTGGTTGCTCTGACACGACAAATAAAATAAAAGCCTCTGTTTAAAAGCCTCCAGAGAAGGAGCCTCTACCACACTCCGGGGCAGAGAGATCCACTGCTGAACAGTTCTCACAGTCAGGAAGTTCTTCCTAATGTTCAGATGGAATCTCCTTTCTTGTAGCGTGCTAGAAGAAGCAAAGACCACAAACACTGAAGCGATGGTCCTCCACCACCAACTCCGTTGGACCGGCCACGTTATGCCATTGTTCCATTGCGTCCTAGTCTCCAAGGCAGCAGAAAACAAGCTTGCTCCCTCCTCCCTATGACTAGGTGTGTCTTACTTATTTAAGCAATACCTTGTAGTTTGAGGGTGATGTTCCTCCAAGTGATGTGTCTTGGCGGTGGGTCCGTAGGTGGCTGTGGAGCACTATTCTTGATCCGCATCTTCTCCCACAGTGAGGACATCAGTTTCCAGATGAAAGGCGGTCCCGGTCAGGGTCGGTTGGCACCTTCCTCTTGGCAAATTTCTCCCTTTTGCGCTCCATTCGTGTCTCCGAATTCTGCAGCACTGCTAGTCACAGCTGACCTCCAACTATAGTGCTCAAGGGCCAGGGCTTCCCAGTTCTCTGTGTCTATGCTGTCAGGATTTATTGAGATATAATTGTGTGTTTCAAATGTAATTCTTGTATTACCAATATGGATGCCACTTAGAGTGTCATGCTATGCTGAAATGTTTATGTTGAGGCTGTGATTGAGTGACCTTAAGATAAGCTCTCTGCTGCTGAGAAAAATTAGGGAGTTAACCACTTGGAGCAGAAGAGCTAAGCAGCTGCAAAGGAACTGTTTTGACTTTCGGTTTTCCTTGTGTGTTCCTGTGTGTCGCTCGCTGAAGATGGATGTGCTTTTGCTCTGTGCTTAGTAAACTGAGTTTTCCTTGTAACCTGACATCTCCAGAGCCCATGATTTTACAGAGTTGTATCTGGTGTACCTAGCATTGCTTCTGTCAAGATGCACCTAAGCTTGACATATGCCACCGTTTTTAAGGTTGGCTTTAAACCCATCTTTAAATCACTTTTCCTGTCCACCAACATTTCCCATTCTTGAGTTTAGAGGATAGCAACTGCTTTGGGAGACGGTGATCGGGCATTTAGACAACGTGGCTGGTCCAACGGAGTTGGTGGTGGAGGACCATCACTTCAATGCTGGTGGTCTTTGCTTCTTCCAGCACGCTATAATTGGAATACGTGCAATGACTACAGAATGGCCTTAAGACTACGATTTCTGGATGGTGTGATTCTCATATTGAATGTAATTTGAAATGCTTTATATGTATTAATTTTAATTCAGTTGACTGTAAGCTTAATGTTAGTAAGTGTTTAAGTCATTGAATAATTGCCATATGTAAGCCACCTTGAAGTATTATTTATAAATAGGGTAAATAAATAAATATTTTTCACAGTTTTATTAGTGGCGTTGCATCTCCTTGAAAGGGAGAAAGCAGGATGCAAAGATGAGGGTTATATTATTATTATTATTAATATTAATATTAATATTATATATTTCTATAAATAAATAAGCAATTCCGGTTTAAAACCATTCCCTTCCCTCGCCTATGGATGCATCTGGAATACTGTGTCCAATTCTGGGCACCACAATTGAAGGGAGATGTTGACAAGCTGGAAAATGTCCAGAGGAGGGCAACTAAAATGATCAAGGGTCTGGAGAACAAGCCCTATGAGGAGCGGCTTAAAGAGCTGGGCACATTTAGCCTGAAGAAGAGAAGGCTGAGAGGAGACATGATAGCCATGTATAAATATGTGAGAGGAAGTCACAGGGAGGAGGGAGCAAGCTTGTTTTCTGCTGCCCTGGAGACTAGGACGCGGAACAATGGTTTCAAACTACAAGAAAGGAGATTCCATCTGAACATGAGGAAGAACTTCCTGACTGTGAGAGCCGTTCAGCAGTGGAACTCTCTGCCCCGGAGTGTGGTGGAGGCTCCTTCTTTGGAAGCCTTTAAATAGGCTGGATGGCCATCTGTCAGGGGTGCTTTGAATGCAATTTTCCTGCTTCTTGGCAGGGGGTTGGACTGGATAGCCCATGAGGTTTCTTCCAACTCTTTGATTCTATGATTCTATGTTCCTGACTGTGAGAGCCGTTCAGCAGTGGAACTCTCTGCCCCGAGGTTGGTGGAGGCTCCTTCTTTGGAGGCTTTTAATCAGAGGGGTGGCCATCTGTTGGGGGTGCTTTGAATGTGATTTTCCTTCTTCTTGGCAGAATGGGGTTGGACTGGATGGCCCACGAGGTCTCTTCCAACTCTAGGATTTTATGATTCTTGAACAATCTCTCTCGACATTCATTGCAGCTTTTTTACAGACTTTCTTTGTTTCTTTCTAGGGTTCTTCATATCTAGAAATTCGGCCTTTTTTCATGCCTTGAGAGTGTCTGAAGATACACACACTTTCTGTTGTGCTGTCTGCCTGGGAGGAGAGCCCAAATATGGAAAAGCAAGACTCGGCTGGTCCTGAGTTGGAAAACAGCTGTGCTGCCATTCCGCTTGCGAAAAGTGGGGAGTCCTGGGAAAGGAACCCAAGGAAGAGCTCGACGGAAGATGTGCTCAGTTCAGATGTGCAAAGACAGCTTTTCCGGCAATTCCACTACCAGGGAGCCAAAGGACCCCGAGAGGTTTGCAGCCAACTCCATGCTCTCTGCTGCTGGTGGCTGAAGCCAGAGCGATACACCAAGGCGAGATGCTGGACCTGGTGCTCCTGGAGCAGTTCCTGGCCATCCTGCCCTTGGAGATGTCCGCCTGGGTGCGGGAGTGTGGGGCAGAGACCAGTTCCCAGGCGGTGGCTTTGGTGGAGGGTTTCCTCCTGAGTCAAGCAGAAGGGGCCAAGGAGGAGAAGCAACAGGTAAAGAGAAATTCCTCTGCAGTATTTCAAACATAAGGTAAAACAGACCTTCTTGCAATTAATTTCCAGCAAAGTACAAATCTCATCTCTATGGGACCACAACTTGTGGTTTCATTGCGGTGACAAAAATATGACCTCTCAAAGCATTTTCTAGTTCCGTAATATTTTTTTTTGGTTTTGTGTCAGGAGCGACTTGAGAAACAAATGTTTATTTTGTATTGTCGAAGGCTTTCAGTTTTAATTGTGCAAAAGCTCCCCTGACCTGGGGATCCAGGCTCAGCGGTGAGTCCAGGATCACTCCCAAGCTGCGAACCTGCGCCTTCAGGGGGAGTGTAACCCCGTCTAACACAGGCTGTAACCCTATGCCCTGTTCGGCCTTACGACTGACCAGGAATAAAGGTTCAACTATTATGTGATGAAATACAGTATACCCCATGGATATGGGAATTGTATTGTATTTGCTGAAGGTCATGGAATGAGGATTTTCCCAGCCTGCTCCTGGGCTCATTCCTCTCTTTTTGCCATCATCCCTATTTTTTCTTTTCCAGAACCTGTTTGCTCAAGAGGGTTCAGAAGCAAAGACGGCAATCCCAGACTCTGGACAGAAAACGTGGAACATGGAGGAAAATGATGGGCATGCCAGCTCTTTGGGTAACAATAATACTAATAATACTACTACTACTACTAATAATAATAATAATCTTTATTTTTACCCAGCTACCATCTGCCAGAAGGGACTCGGGGTGGCTTACATGAGGCCAAGCCCATCAAATACAATACAACAATACATCCACAAACAAGCAAGCAACTAAAACAATACAAATAATACAATTGCAATAACACACAAAAGATTTAAAAACATTATGGCAAGGCCAGATGTAGATTAAAATTTTTAAAACCCAGGGCGTGTACAGAGTAGGGCAGTGGTTCTCAACTTGTGGGTCCCCAGGTGTTTTGGCCCACAACTCCCAGAAACCCAAGCCACTTTACCAGCTGTTGGGATTTCTGTGAGTTAAAGGCTAAAACATCTGGGGACCCACAGATTGAGAACCATTGGAGTAGGGTATGTCTAGGTATGGGGGTTTTAAAAAGTGATATGATAGATAAAGTGCTTCCGAGAACGTATAGAAGGAAATTGGTCAGATCGGGCATTATTTCTTTCATTCAGGGAAGGCACACTGGAACAACCATGTTTTCAAGCTCCTCCTAAAGACTGCCAAAGTGGGGGCTTGCCTGATATCTTTAGGTAGAGGGTTCCAGAGTCGAGGGGCCACCACAGAGAAGACCCTCTCCCTCGTTCCCACCAATCGTGCCTGCGAAGGCGGCAGGAGCAAGAGCAGGGCCTCTCCAGATGAACGAAGAGATCGCGTGGGTTTGTAAACAGAAATTCATCAGCAGGATCTTAAGTCCAGGGGGGTCTGTCATGAGGTCTGCCACGTTCTACCTTCTCCAGAGTCGCAAGAACTCCAGGGTAAGGAGGAAAGGGGCATTTTTCAGCTTCAGATGTCTTCAGATGTCTCATGTCCACAGACTAACCATGATCAGCCTCTTGGATTTGTGTTGCCTTCTACTGTGTCTTGAACAAGTCAAGTAAATGAGGCAAATCAGTTTTATGACTCCGTAGCTTTAAGTAGAATGAAAGGTGGAAGAATGATAGCAGAATTATGAGATGACCACCACCTCCAGGCCAGAGAACCAAGCCAAATAGACCAGAGCCACTAGAAACAACCTATCCAATCTGAATGAAGGAATCAAGCTTGTTCGGGTGATTTCTGCATTTAGAGCAATACAATAAAAAACCCCATAATAATGGAACCCATATCGCAGTGCCATTTACCTATGCCTGGGGGGAGAATGATCTCTTTAGGGCAGCGTTTCTCAACCTGGAGGTCGAGACCCCTGAGAGGGTGTCAGTGAGGTTGCCAAAGACCATCAGAAAATACAGTATTTTCTGTTGGTCACTGGGGGTCTGTGTAGAAGTTTGGCACAATTCTATGGTTGGTGGGGTTCAGAATGCTCTTTGATTGTAGGTGAACTATAAATCCCAGCAACTACAACTCCCAAATGTCATAGTCTATTTTCCCCAAACTCTACCAGTGTCACATTTGGGCATATTGAGTTTTATGTGCCAAGTTTGGTCCAGATCCATCATTGTTTGAGTCCACAGTGCTCTTTGGATGTAGGTGAACTACAACTCCAAAACTCAAGGTCAATGCCCACCAAACCCTTCCATAGTTTTCTGTTGATTTGCAGTATTTATATTCCGCCCTTCTCACCCTGCAGGGGACTCAGGACAGATTACAATGTACACATATATATGACAAACATGCAATGCCAAAGACACACAACAGATATAGACAGTCAGAGGCTATTTAACTTTTCGGGATGCCAGGGGAGCTGTCGCTTTCATCATCCATCTGCGACACTGATGAAGTACTTCCGCATTCCCCCCATGCTTTGCTGGAGTCTTTTTTATGGCCTCGTAAATTAGTTAAATTAGCCTCCCCACATATAGGTGGTACCTAATTTTCCTACTTGACAGATGCAACTGTCTTTCGGGTTGCAAAGGTCAACAACAAGCTACACAATTGGTTGGAAGCTCACTCTGACCTGGGCTGGCTTCAAACTCATGACCTTTTGGTCAGAAGTGAATCTTAATGCAGCTGACACTCAGCCCCTAAACAATCCCGGTGCGCAGTATATTCAGTTAGTTATGGGAGTTCTGTGTGCCAAGATTGGTTCAGTTCCATCATTGGTGGAGTTCAGAATGCTCTTTGATTGTAGCCGAACTATAAATCGCCGCAAGTACAACTCTCAAGTGACAAACTCAATCCCCCTCCAACCCCACCAGTATTCCAATTTGGATGTGTGGGGTATTTGTGCCAAATGTGGTCCAAATGAAAACACATCCTGCATATAAGATATTGACATGACGATTCCTAACACTAGCAAAATTACAGTTGTGACGTAGCAATGAAAATAATGTTATGGTTGGGGGTCACCACAATATGAGGAACTGCATTAAGGGGCCGCAGTTCCAATATGAGGAACTGCATTAAGGGGTGATTCTTTCTTTGGTTTTTTCGTGTCAGGAGCGACTTGAGAAACTGCAAGTCACTTCTGGTGTGAGAGAACTAGTCGTCTGTGTTGCTGTAGCCCTGTCTGTGTATATGTGCTTTGTCTGTGTATAAATTTGTGTATATGTGTATATATGTACGTTTGCATTTATATATGTGGTTTTGCACATGCGTTGTAATGCAATTTTTGTTTCTCGGCTTTTAAAGTCCTCCTGCTGCGTTTTCCAGTGTTTTTATGAGTGATGGTCACTTGTTGGCCTGATAGGTCTCTTGTGTCCAAATTTAGTGTCAGTTAAGCCAATGGTTTTTGAGTTATGTTAATCCCACAAACCAACATTATATTTTTATTTCTATAGATTACTAGCCATCCCCTGCCACACATTGCTGTGGCCCACATGCGGGTTCTGTGTGGGAGGTTTGGCCCAATTCTATCGTTGGTGGGGTTCAGAATGCTCTGTGATTGTAGGTGAACTATAAATCCCAGCAACTACAACTCCCAAATGTCAAGATTCTATTTCGCCCAAACTCCACCAGTGTTCACTTTTGGGCATATAGAGTATTCTTGTAGAGTTTGGTCCAGATCCATCATTGTGTGCGTCCACAGTGCTCTCTGGACGTAGGTGAACTAGAACTCCAAAAGCAAAGGCCAATGCCCACCAAACCCTTCCAGTATTTTCTGTTGGTGATAGGAGTTCTGTGTGCCAAGTTTGGTTCAATTCCATCGTTGGTAGAGCTCAGAATGCTCTTTGATTGTAGGTGAACTATAAATCCCAGCAACTACAACTCCCAAATGACAAAATCAATTTTTTTGAGTGAAGGACATACATTGGGTTGTTAGGTGTCTTGTGTCCAAATTTGGTGTCAATTAGTCCAGTGGTTTTTGAGTTCTGTTAATCCCACAAAATTATATAGAAGATGATTCTTCCTTGGCCAGCCTTCCCCAGATGACAGTGTATTTTTATTTTAATTAATTCCATAACTTTTCCTATCTCTACTAATCTTCTTGGTTCTTTTGAGTCCCCGAAGCTTGCCTAATGTCTTGGGCTGTTTATATTTATGTGAATTTTGAAAAAGGAAAAAAAAACATGAATCGGAACTAACGGGCATTGCCAAACTTTATCGTTTCCTTGTTTGTTTTTCACAGGAGGGGAAACAAGAACACTAGCGAATGATAGCAACTCGTTTCATTTTGAGGACATGAGAACAACTTCAGTAATTCTGGATCAGGTAAAGGCCAGGAACCAAGAAAAGACCAAGAAATTGATAGTTTAGATCAGTATTCCCCAACCTTCCTAATGTTGTGACCCCTTAATACAGTTTCTCATGTTGTGGTGACCCCCAATCATAAAATTATTTTCGTTGCTATTTCATAACTGTAATTTTGCTCCTGTTATGAATCGTAATGCAATTATCTGATAAACAGGATGTATTTTCATTCACTGGACCAAATTTGGCACAAATACCCGATATGCCCAAATTTGAATACTGGTGGGGTTGGGGGGGATTGATTGATTTTGTCATTTGGGAGTTTGAGTTCTTGGGATTTATAGTTTAAATACAATTCAAACTCCACCAGCGATGGAATTGAACTAAACTTGGCACACAGAACTCCCATGATGAACAGACAATACTGGATGGGTTTGGTGGGCATTGACCTTGAGTTTTAGAGTTGTAGTTCACCTACATCCAGAGAGCACTGTAGACTCAAATAATGATGGATCTGGACGAAACTTGGCACGAATACTCAATATGCCCAAATGTGAACTCTGGTGGAGTTTGGGGAAAATACACCTTGATATTTGGGAGTTTTAGTTGCTGGTATTTATAGTTCACCTACAATCAAAGAGCATTCTGAACCCCACCAACTAGGCTTGGGTAACCACAGAAAAATTTGGTTCTAAACTCGTTTCGTTTTTAGGGGGCCCTTGCGTTTCATTTTTTTAAAGAATTCTGAAATTTTCCTTTAAAAAAGTTTGAAATATACAAAATTTCGTAAAATTACGAATCGATTCGTTAATGGCGGACGAGATTGCGCAATATGCTAAAAAAAACCTCCAAATGGGACAGGGGGAACTTCTGAAGCTTCCCTCTCCCTCTGTTGTTGACTGTTGGTGTGATAATTTATTTTTTATCACTGATAAAACAAACAACAACTATAAAACTTGCACCAGACAAACGGAAATAATTACGAAACAATTACGAAACAATACGAAATAAATTGGAAAAATTGTTTCGATTTTTAATTACTCCTCACAGTAGTCCTGCATGGCTCAATATTGGATCGTAAGCTAATTTAAATACGAATTAATAACGAATTACGAAATTAACGAACGAAACCGCCCAAGCCTACAAAATACTATAAAAACATAGCACATAGAACCCCCATGACCAACAGAAAATACTGTGTTTCTTGATGGTCTTTGGCGACCCCTCTGACACTAACTGGCGACCCCCACAGGGATCCTGACCCCCAGATTGAGAACCACTGGTTTAGATGCTCTTGTTCCTGGAACATCTCTTGGACCTGTACATCCATCAGACTTGCCCAGGAAGATATCAGCAATGCCCTGCGTGAAGACAAGTCTTTGCTTATTGCATTTGTTTTGCATGAGGGCCGCTCCCAAACAGAAGCCATGAAAACAAAAGAAAGAAGAGCCATTAAACTGTATAAAATCGTACAACATTTGAAAAAATATACAAAATATTATTTATGCTTTCTTTATTCCAAAGTGAGACCCAAGGTAGCTTGCAAAGACAAACGATTAATACATCAATATAAATAAAAATGTAATGTTCGTTTGTGGGATTAACATAACTCACAAACCACTTGCTCAATTGACATGAAATTTGGACACAATACACCTAACAGTCCAACGAGTGTCCTCACCCCTAAAACACACACAAACACACCCACACACAAACCCCACCAGAACAGACTTAAAACCCCAAAAATACACCATAAATACATATACAAATACACTCATATACATATACACACATTCATACACACACACATATATATATATGCACAATACACACACAAATATACACATGCACATACACAAACATTCACACAAATATTCATATAGACAAGCACACACATTTACAGAATATGCATGTACACATATAAACACACAAATACACACACACACACACACATATATATGCAACACACATATATGCACACACAAACACATACACACACAAAACACATATACACAGACTGGGCCACAGCAACGCGTGGCAGGGGATGGCTAGTATCTATATAAATAAAAATGTAATGTTCGTTTGTGGGATGAGCATAACTCAAAAACCACTGGGTGAATTGACACCAAAATTTGGACACAAGACACCTCTCAGGCCAAGGAGTGACCATCACTCATAAAAATACTGAAAAACACAGTGGAAGAGACCTTAAAAAGCCAAAAAACAAAAATTACATTACAACACATGTGCAAAACCACATATATACACAAACACACATATATACACACACAAAACACATATGCACAGACTGGGCCACAGCAACACGTGGCAGGAGACAGTTAGTCTATAATAAAAGCAATAAGCCAATAAACAATAAGTATTTAAAAGCAATAGAAAATACCAGCCACGTTTTCAGGCTCCTCCTAAAGACTGCCAATGTGGAGGCTTGTCTGATATCTTTGGGGAGTGAGTTCCAGAGTCGGGGGGGGGGGCCACCACAGAGAAGGCCCTCTCCCTCGTCCCCACCAATCGTGCCTGCGAAGGGGGCGGGAACGAGAGCAGGGCCTCTCCAGATGATCAAAGAGATCGTGTGGGATCATACACAGAAATGCGGTCACGCAGGTAGGCGGGTCCCAAAGCGTTCAGGGCTTTGTAGGTAAGAACCTGCACCTTGAATTGAGACCGGAAAATGAACGGCAGCCAATGGAGCTCCTTAAACAGGGGGGTAGACTGCTCCCTGTAAGTCGCTCAAGTTAGTAACCTGGCTGCCGCCCATTGTACCAACTGAAATTTCCAAGCCGTCTTCAAGGGCAGCCCCATGTAGAGTGCATTACAGTAATCAATCTGGAGGTGACTAAGGCGTGGACCACCATGGCCAAAACAAATAAATAACTCCCCGAGAGTTATAAACCTGTTTGAACAAAAGCATCTGAGCCTTCTGTGGGAACAGCCACTAGGAAATGTCTCCTTTCCTTTCCAAACATAGTGAAAACCTTTCCATGGGGAGATGCGGTCTTTCAGATACTCTAGGTCCAAGCCACACAGGGTCTTCTAGGTCTTGATCATGGCCTATGTGCTCAGGAACAAACTGGTATTGTTGGGCATCTCTAAATTACTCAGTTTTCTTTTCAGATTAGGATTAGTTTGTTTTTCCCCCTTCACTTCATAGGTGACCTTTGAGGAGATCGCTGTGGATTTCAGCGAGGAGGAGTGGGCCCTGCTGGATCCGCCACAAAGGGCCCTTCATAGGGAAGTGATGTCGGAGAATCTGGCCATCCTGGCCTCTCTGGGTAAGGCTCCTTCTTTCTTATTTATGACTGATGGAATCAGTTTACAAGTGCCAAAAAAACATCACTGTGGCTGTTCTGTTGGATTTACGCAGGTGAACAATTAACAAGTAATTTAATAAGGTAATAAAAGGTCAAATTCTAACTCTTCCTGGGACTAAAAACTAAAATTCATAGGAAAAGTTGGAGTCTTGAATCAAGTGTGGTTCTTGGTTGCTGTAAGTTTTCTGGGCTGTATGGTCATGTTCCAGAAGCATTCTCTCCTGATGTTAAAAAATTCTAAAATCATAACAGTGAATAAAAAAAAAACAAAACTCAAAAACAGGGGAACTCCAGACAAGAAACAATCAGGGACAGCTAATCACCTCTCAAAAACGGATTCCCCCAGGCAGTGATAATAGGAACCTATTATCACTTACGGTGTGGTTGCAAAAAGTAATTGATAACAATTCATGAACACACACAAAACATTATTAGGGCAAAATATGACCTGAAACCTGAATATTACTTGCCGAACATAATAGATTTTGAGATGGAAAAAAACGAAGAGAAGATTTTATTTATCTGACAGCAGCGGCAAGAATAACAGTAGCACAGAAATGGAAAGAAAAAGACCCTCCCTCAATTGAAGTTTGCATGATTAATATATGAACATGCATACACTGACACAACTATTAAAAAACCAGAAGAAAGCGAACCAAACCAACAGGGAATCATTAAGAACATATGTTCAATCATTCAGTCACTTCCGACTCTTGGTGACCCCCTGGACCAGCCCATGCCAGAGCTCCCTGTCGACCGTCACCACCCCCAGCTCCTTCAAGGTCAATCCAGTCACTTCAAGGATGCCATCCATCCATCTTGCCCTTGGTTGACCCCTCTTCCTTTTTCCTTCCATTTCCCCAGCATCATTGTCTTCTCTAGGCTTTCCTGTCTCCTCATGATGTGGCCAAAGTACTTCAACTTTGTCTGTAGTCTCCTTCCCTCCAATGAGCAGCCGGGCTTTATTTCCTGGAGGATGGACTGGTTGGATCTTCTCGCAGTCCAAGGCTCTCTCAGAACTTTCCTCCAGCACCACAGCTCAAAAGCATCTCTCTTCCTTCGCTCAGCCTTCCCTAAGGTCCAGCTCTCACATCCGTAGGTTACTACAGGGAATACCATGGCTTTGACTAGGCGGATCTTCGTTGCCAGTGTGATGTCTCTGCTCTTTACTATTTTATCGAGAACATATAAGAACATATCTGCAGGAGAAAATGAAATTGAATATCTGAACAATTAGAAACCTATATTAAAAGGTATCAGAGACTACTTGGTAGAGAAACTGAAACAAAAATTTATCTCTGGAAGACTACCTCTCTGTGGAATGAACTGGAACCACCCCCCGCAACCCCCATCTCCCCCCCCCCACCTGCCCTACCCACCCCACTACTTACCTAATTTCCTACTGTCCTCTATATCTGATTTGTTCCCTCTCTTTTATTGTTATTTGGAAATGGTGGCAAATAAAAATGATTAATAAAAAAAACCCCAAAGGATTCCCCCAGGCAGTAAGAAGCCACACCTTGAAAACTGCTAGGCCAGGAGTCATCAAACTTTTTAAACAGAGGGCCAGGTCACAATCCCTCAAACTGTTGGAGGGCCGGATTATAATTTGAAAAAAGCATGACTAAACTCCTATGCACACTACACATATCTTATTTGTACCACAAAAAACACTTAAAAACAATATAATAATTAAAACGAAGAACAATTTTAACAAATATAAATTTATTTGTATTTCAATGGGAAGTGTGGGCCTGCTTTTGGCTGATGAGATAGGATTGTTGTTGATGTGTGCTTTCAAGTAGTTTCAGACTTCGTTTGACCCTGAGCGAGGGCCAGGTAAATCACCTTGGGGGGCTGTATCTGGCCCTCGGGCCTTAGTTTGAGGACCCCTGTGCCAGGCCATTTTTTACCAAAAATTGCTTTTTTACCCAAAATGTTGAGTGGAGGAAGTCTTATTGAATGTCATGTAAAAAACAGGTATGAGTTTAGCCACTACAATACTTCTTTAACTGGAGATTCTGGCAGAGGGTCCCTGCATGGCAGCTGGGTGAATTGGTTGGTCCTTGTGGTCTCTTCCAGACATACGAGTCTAGAATTGTGCTTCTCCTTTGGACTCTGATCTTTTGTTTCTTGCCTTTCAAGGTGGAGATGGGCGAGATCATGACGATGAAGAGGAACCACATGGGACTTTCCTTGGAGGAGGTGAATGTAATCAGAAAGAAGGACAGAAACACAAATCTGACTGTCTAGAGAGGACCAGGGACCCCTGTGGAACATCAGCCGAAGAAATGAAACAAAAAGAAAAGGAAGAAAATGAATACCTTTGCCATGAATGTGGAAGAGGCTTCAGCTGTCAAACAAGCTTCCGCCTTCATAGGAAGACCCATACAGAGGGGACACTCTCCGTAGACAGTGAGGTTCACAAGGCCTTCAGTGCTAACAAGTGCCTACCGCTTCACAAAACCAACACAGGAGAACAACGAATTGTGTCACTGTGGTGTGGAAAGAGCTCCAAGTGGGGCTCACAGTTGTTCTCTCCTCCAAGAAACCACGTCAAAGAGCAACCATTTAAGTTAGGAGAATGTGGGAGGATCTTCAGTCAGAAGGCACACCTCGCTCCACCTCAAGCAACTTGCACAGGAGAGAAACCTATTCCAAACATGGATCATGAGACAAGTTTCACCTCCATGATAAACATCCCTCCTCTGCAAGGAACCGAACCAGGAGAGAAACCGTTCAAGTGTTTGGAGTGTGGGAAAAGTTTCACTCAGAAGACACACCTGGTTTGTCATCAAAGGAGTCATTCGGGGGAGAAGCCATTCAAGTGCTTTGAGTGCGGGAAAAGCTTTGGGTGGAAATCAAGCTACACAAACCACCAGGCGACCCACACGGGGGAAACGCCATTTCAGTGCCTGGACTGCGGAAAGAGCTTCGGGCGGAAGACGAGTCTCATTAACCACCAAGCAACTCACAGAGGCGAGAAGCCGTTCGAATGCTCGGAGTGCGGGAAGAGTTTCCGATGGAAGACCAGCCTCACCAACCACCAAGCCATCCACACGGGAGAGAAGCCCTTCCAGTGTCTGGAGTGCGGCCAGACCTTCAGCCAGAAGGTGCACCTCACCTCCCATCAAGCAACTCATACGGGAGCAAAGCCCTTTGAATGCATGGAGTGCGGGAAAACGTTCATGCAGAAGACGCGCCTCATTTGCCACCAGGCGGCTCACCGGGGGGAGAAACCCTTCAAATGCTCAGAGTGTGGAAAGAGCTTCAGCTGGAAGACCAGCCTCACAACGCACCAGGCATCTCACGCGGGGGAGAAGCGGTTCCAGTGCTTGGAGTGCGGGAAGAGATTTGAGCGGAGGATCCACCTCCTTCGTCACCAGGGGACTCACACCGGGGAGCAGGCCTTCCAGTGCTTAGAGTGCGGGAAGGGCTTCAGTTGGAAGACCAGCCTCATCAACCACCAGGCCACTCACACGGGAAACAGGCCATTCCAGTGCTTCCACTGCGGAAGGAGCTTCCGGCAGAAGGCCCACCTCACTTCCCACCAGTCCACTCACACAGGGGAGAAACCCTATCAGTGCCTGGAGTGTGGGAAGAGCTTTTGCTGGAAGACGAGCCTCATAAACCACCAAGCGTCCCACACGGGCGAGAAGCCCTTTCAGTGCTTGGAGATCTGAAAAATGGCACAACCCAGAAAGTGGTCAAACTATAGAACTGTATTGTCGAAGGCTTTCACGGTCAGAATCACTAGGTTGTTGTAGATTTTTCGGGTGATGTGGGCATGTTCTAGAAGCATTCTCTCCTGACTTTTCGCCTGCATCTATGGCAGACAACCTCTGAGGATGACCTTTTCTAGAACATGCCCGTATTACCCGAAAAACCTACAACAACTGTTGAAATGCAGAAAGAGCTTGAGGGAGATGCCAGATTTCAAAGCCTGGAGCTTGGGAAAGACTTCTGTTGGAAGCCAGCCCTTGTTTCTCGTCAAGCAACTCACACAGAGGAGGAACCATAAAGTATTTTTATTTTATTTTTATTTAAGGTAAAGGTTTTCCCCTGACATTAAGTCCAGTCGTGTCCGACTCTGGGGTGTGGTGCTCATCTCCATTTCTAAGCCGAAGAGCCGGTGTTGTCCATAGACACCTCACAGGTCATGTGGCCAGCATGACTGCATGGAGCGACTTTCCCTTCCCGCCGAAGCAGTACCTATTGATCTACTCACATTTGCATGTTTTCGAACTGCAAGGTGGCAGAAGCTGGGGCTGACAGCAGAAGCTCACACCGCTTCCCGGATTCGAACCTGCGACCTGTCGGTCAACAAGCTCAGCAGCTCAGCGCTTTAACCCACTGCGCCACCGGAGACTCCTATTTTTTATTTACAGTACTTCTGTTCTGTCCTTCTCACCCCGAAGGGGACTCACGGCGGATTTCAGAACACATACACAGCAAACATTCAATGCTGATTATACAATGACAAGACAGACAATAGATAGAGGTAAATATAGGCGTTTTCTCATCATTCGACATCTTTAGAGGCTGTATCTGGTTCCGGCCACAAGGAGGTGCTGTTGCTCCATCTCCTTGCCAAAGAGCTTTCTTTGTAAACTTTCCTCCAAACATGGTGCCTAAAATATCTCCCCATTTAATGCGGTTCCAATTCATCTACTCGCATTGCTGTTTTCGATCCGCTAGGTGGGTGGGGAGCTGGGCTGAAGGTCAGGAGCTCACCCTTACCCGGCTTCGAACTGTCAACCTTTTGGTTGGCAATATTTACTGCAGCTGGTGATTAACCTACTGTGCTAAAGCCAGTAGAGTTGGATGAGGTGCCCAGGGCCATCCATTTCAACTCCTTTCTGCCATTCAGGAAGCACCATCCAACCACGCCTGACAGATGACCATCCAGCCTCTGCTTTAAAATCTCCACTGCCAAGAAGCTCTTACCATCAGGAAGTTCTTCTTAATGTACAGGTGGAGCTTCTCTTGTGCAGTTCATTAAAGCTCATTAAAATAATAATAAATGTGTCTATTTTGTATTTTTCAGGGATTGCTCACTTATTACCTGATCGAACTTACATTGGGTGATTCACAAGTTCATAGCTGAGATAATAAAGGCAAAACACGAGAACAACTTCAATGTATTGTGAATCTTTTGTGTATTTGATTTTCCCTGTCGGTTTCCCCCATCAGGGCTGTCACTCAGACACTCTTGAGTGAATTTATTTCTGCAAGACTATGCTGATTTTTCCAGGAAGGTACCAACTCGTTTTTTGTTGTGTCTACTATGAAACCAGTTAGGTAGTTCCTTTATTTCAGTGGTTCCCAACCTGTGGTCCGTGGAGCACCTCTCAGCGGCCTTCGATATTATTTATTTATTTATTTATTTACTTTACTTGTATACCGCAGTTTCTCAGCCTAACAGGCGACTCAACGCGGTTTACAACAAAGGTACAACAGTCAACAATATACAATTTAAAACCATAAAAGCATAATACACAATATTGACACAACAATAACAACCCAATGCATCTCATGACTAAAATCGTGATCCAGTTTCGTCGTCCATATTACCATTCCTGTAATCATCACATTCATTGCACTGATTAACCAAATGCCTGTTCGAACATCCAGGTTTTTAATCTTCTTCGGAACACCATCAGCGAGGGGGCTGATCTTACCTCCATGGGAAGGGCGTTCCATAGCCGAGGGGCCACCACAGAAAAGGCCCTGTCTCTCGTCCCCGCCAGCCGCACTTGTGAAGCCGGCGGGATAGAGAGCAGGGACTCTCCAGAAGATCTTAGGGTCCTGGTGGGCTGATAGGCTGAGATACGTTCGGATAGATAAGTTGGGCCAGAACCATTTAGGGCTTTAAAGGCCAACGCCAGCACTTTGAATTGAGCCCGGTAGCAAATCGGCAGCCAGTGGAGCTGGTGCAGCAGAGGAGTTGTATGTTCCCTGCGCTCCGCTCCTGTTAGTATCATGGCTGCCGAACGTTGGACTAATTGGAGTTTCCGAGCCGTCTTCAAAGGCAACCCCACGTAGAGAGCGTTGCAGTAGTCTAAACGGGATGTAACCAGAGCGTGGACTACCGTGGCCAAGTCAGACTTCCCAAATACGGGCGCAGCTGGCGCACAAGCTTTAGCTGTGCGAATGCTCCCCTGGTCACCACCGAACCTGGGGTTCCAGGCTCAGTGATGAGTCCAGGATCACACCCAAACTGCGAACCTGCGTCTTCAGGGGGAGTGCGACCCCATCCAACACAGGCTGTAACCCTATACCCTGTTCGGCCTTACGACTAACCAGGAGTACCTCTGTCTTGTCTGGATTCAATTTCAATTTGTTCGCCCTCATCCAGACCATCACAGCGGCCAAGCACCAGTTCAGGACCTCGACAGCCTCCTTAGTAGCAGGTGGAAAGGAGTGACAGAGTTGGACATCATCTGCGTACAGATGACATCGCACCCCGAAACTCCGGATGATCTCACCCAGCGGCTTCATGTAGATGTTAAACAACACGGGAGACAATATTGAACCCTGAGGAACCCCACAAGACAAAGGTTGTGGGGTTGAACAGGAGTCTCCCAGTAACACCTTCTGAGACCGACCCTCAAGGAATGAGCGGAGCCACTGTAAAACAGTACCTCCAAGACCTATTCCTGCGAGGCGTCCCAGAAGGATACCGTGGTCGACGGTATCGAAGGCCGCTGAGAGGTCCAGCAGCACCAACAGGGACACACTCCCCCTGTCGAGCTCCCGGCGCAGATCATCCACTAAGACGACCAAGGCTGTCTCGGTACCATGTCCCGGCCTAAAGCCAGACTGTGCCGGGTCTAGATAATCCGTGTCTACCAAGAATGACCTGGAGTTGTGAGGCCACCACACGTTCCAAGACTTTGCCCAAAAAGGGGAGATTGGAAACAGGCCGATAGTTGACGAATTGAGTGGGGTCCAGTGATGGTTTTTCAACAGCGGTTTTATCACAGCTTGCTTTAAGCTGGCTGGAATTTTGCCTTCCCGAAGGGAGGCATTAACCACCACCTTCACCCACTCGGCCAATCCCCCTCTGGCCTCCTTCAGAAGCCAGGATGGGCAGGGGTCTAGGATGCATGTGGTAGCTCTCATTCCTCCAAGCACCTTGTCCACATCCTCGGGTTGCACCAATTGAAATGAATCCATCAAAACCGGACAAGCAGATGCTCGTGTTACATCCTCAGAGACTGCCGTTAATATGGTATCCAGACCAGAGCGGATCAAAGCGACTTTGTCTGCAAAGAACTGAGCAAAGGCTTCACAGCGAGCTGCCGAGTCATCAGGGCACCCATCCTGCGTGGTGGGATTTAAAAGGCCTCTGACAACTCGGAACAGTTCAGCCGGACGGTTCTTTGCAGACGCAATAGTGGCCGCAAAGAAAGTCTTTGCGGCTTTTATTGCCGCGGCATATGCCCTTAAAAAGGACACAAACCGTGTTCGATTTGGCTCGCTCGGATCCGAACGCCACACGCTCTCTAGTTCCCTCTTCTTTCGCTTCAACGCTGCCAGCTCCTCAGTAAACCAAGGAGCTGGTTTAGCTCGGCTACTTGAGAGGGGACGTTCTGGAGCGATCGTGTCTATTGCCCTAGCCATCTCCCCATTCCAGAGAGCGACCAGGGCATCAACAGGATCACCAACCGAGGTGGCGGGAAATTCCCCAAGAGCCGTCAGGAATCCATCCGGATCCATAAGCCTCCTGGGGCGGACCAACTTAATGGGTCCTCCACCTCTGCAGAGGTTAGGGGGTGCAGTGAGTCTAAAGCTGACCAGGTGGTGGTCGGTCCATGGCAACAGAGAGATGGATAACTCCTCAACACCGCCACCTTCCTCCCATCCCTGGCAGAAAACCAAGTCCAATGTGTGTCCTGCACTGTGGGTGGGGCCAGATACTTGTTGGGACAGCCCCATGGTTGTCATGGCTGACATGAAGTCCTGAGCCGCTCCCGATAAAGCGGCCTCGGCATGGACATTGAAGTCCCCCAGCACAAGCAGCCGTTGGGACTCCAATGCCAGGTCCGAGACCACCCCCGCTAGCTCAGGCAGGGAGACTGTAGTGCAGCGAGGTGGACGGTACACTAACAGAATCCCTAATCTGTCCCGGTCACCCACCAATATGGTCCGCAGCCTTAACATTACTACACCATTGTCTCAAAACCACATGGCAACGAGAGCAACTGGTCTTGAGAAACCCTCTTGTAGTGCCAAGACAACGGGGATGTCGGGAGGGGAGAGGCTGACTACCCAGGAAAGATTACTACTACCACATCAGCTCTAATGATTAAATATGGTTTTCTATAGGTGAGCTGATGGCGACTACTGGATGGCACATGTTCTGTATCAGAAACTAGAACTGATGTGGTCTATCCAGTGTAGTTTTCTGAATCGGCATCCCAAATAACCAAACTGAATCTAAAGTTGACCAAAATCTGATTCGTAACCCTTTTGGTACTTATGTTGGAGAGTGGTCCCTGGTCAGGTGATCTGTGGTCAAAATGTCCCCTGGTCAAAGTGGTTGCTGGTCAAGTGATCCTTGGTCAAAATGCACCCTGGTCAATGTAGACTCTGGCCATGTGGTCCCTAATCAAGTGACACCTAGATTCATTTCACACAGACTGTGATTGTGATTGAGCCCAGATAGATCAAAAGGAGTGGACCAAACCATAAAAGTATACCTTCATCCTTACGTATGGAAGTGGGTGTTCTACCTGTGTCCTGCACAATCCGCTTGGGGTGCAACGTCCACCTGGAGTTGGACAGAGACATCTCCAATGTCGTGGGCTCTTCTACAAAACAAGTCAGCCATCTAACGAAACACAGAATTAGCAGAACATAGAAAAGGGAAAGGGAAAATGTTGTGTTGTTTCATGGCCGGAATCACTTGAGTTTTTCGGGCAGTATGGCCATGTTCCAGCAGCATTCTCTTCTGACATTTCGCTTGCATCTGTGACTGGCTCCTTCAGAGGTTCTGTCGGCAGTGAGTCAAGTGGAGTGCATATATATCTGTAGAGTAATGTCCAGGGTGGGAGAAAGAGCACTTGTCTGTTTAAAGCAAGTGTGAATGTTGCAATTGGCAAGCTGAATAGCACTGAGTAGCCATGAAGCTGGTCACTGGTCATGTGGTCTCTGGTCAAAGTGATTCCTGGTCAAAGTGGTTCCTCGTCAAAGTGGTCCCTGGTCAAGTGGTCCCTGGTCAAAATGGTCTCTGGTCAAAGTGGTTCCTGGTCAATGGTCCCTGGTCAAAGTGGTTCCTGGTCAAAGTGGTCCCTGGTCAAGGTGGTCTCTGGTCAAAGTGGTTCCTGGTCAAGTGATCTCTGGTCAAAATGGTCTCTGGTCAAAGTGGTCCCTGGTCAAGTGATCCCTGGTCAAGGTGGTCTCTGGTCAAAGTGGTTCCTGGTCAAAGTGGTCCCTGGTCAAGTGATCCCTGGTCAAAGTGATCTCTGGTCAAAGTGGTCTCTAGTCAAAGTGGTCCCAGGTCAAAATGGTCCCTAGTCAAGTGATCCCTGGTCAAAGTCCCTGGTCAAGTGATCCCTGGTCAAAATGGTCCCTGGTCAAAGTGGTCCCTGGTCAAAATGGTCCGTGGTGGAGGCTCCTTCTTGGGAGGCTTGTAAACAGAGGCTGGAGGGCCATCTGTGGGGGGTGCTTTGAATGCAATTTTGACATAATGGGGTTGGACTGGATGGCCCACGAGGTCTCTTCCAACTCTAGAATTCTGTGATTCTGTTAAAGCAAATATAAAAAATTGTGTTCCAAGAGTACCTGTGTGTTTTTAAATGGATGGCATCTGCTTCAAGTTTGTTTATTTTGTCTCAAAAGCATTGCATAAATAATCAAGTATAAAACTGATAAAAATAGAAGGAACACAAGCAGCTAAATAATTTTAGACCAAAAATGGGCAACAGCCACTACATTGTCTGTAGCTTTAAAAACAGTTCTCCCTCTGTGCATGAGGCAGGACATTGTGGGCAAGCATGCAGATGTGAATAATTCAGAGTCAAACATCCCCAACAGATAATGTTCAGGTTTCATTGTCAATTCTGCGTTTAGTATTATTTGACACTCCTTATGAATCATTTCCCAATAAGGTTTTTCCTCCTCCTTTAGGGTGAGAACTCAAAAAGGGTCTGAAGCTGCCTGACCAAAAATTGGAGACAGGCCATACATCCTTCATCGGTGTGTAGAAGCAGGAATTTCATAGAATCATAGAATCAAAGAGTTGGAAGAGACCTCATGGGCCATCCAGTCCAACCCCATTCTGCCAAGAAGCAGAAATATTGCATTCAAATCACCCCTGACAGATGGCCATCCAGCCTCTGTTTAAAAGCTTCCAAAGAAGGAGCCTCCACCACACTCCGGGGCAGAGAGTTCCACTGCTGAACGGCTCTCACAGTCAAGAAGTTCTTCCTCATGTTCAGATAGAATCTCCTCTCTTGTAGTTTGAAGCAATTTGAGCAAGTTTTGCCTTGGACCAGGCTGTGTAACAAGCCTTCTACGCAACCATTGGAGATACAAGGAGATCTCTCCAGGTCTCAGTCTGAGAAAGGGACATGTTGCTTTGAAATTGGAGACAAGAAGGAGGCGATCACAATGAGTCTCAAAGCTTCTACTGTATTACAAGATCCCTTTGCAGACAGGCTTTCTATGGGTTAAGCTGAGTGAGGTGGATTCCTAGAGAGAAAGGAAACGACCAGGGGACAAATGTGCCTCTTGCATCCAAGGTCCAGCCCTTTCCGTCCATGTGAAGAGGTCAGGTCCTCCCCCTCCAGCTGTTTCTCATTGATTCAAGCTAGTGTTGCCTTCTTTCCCAGAAGGAAGAGCAATTTTGGAGAGTGAGCGTGATGCTCGTACATCTCTCGGTCAAGAGAAAGCATTAATCAGGCTGAAAGAGAAAAAGTTGCAAGAGCAGAAGGTAAGAGAGTTTCATCAAGAGTTCCTTCACCAAACCTTTTGATTTTATTCCCAGGCTGGGGATTTCTCATCAAACCATCTCTTGTCTTGAAGGGGAGAATCCCACCAAAGGGGACATGGCTCTTGTAGCTCTGCTGGAACTTGCCTGGAAGAACAGATCGCAGGAGGAAAAGCAAGACCTCTGCATCCCCTGGTCAAAGGATGATGACTCTCCTGCCATTCAGGCTGGGAGTGGAGGACCGCTTTTGGGAAATACGTTACCAGGGAATGCACTGAGTTCAGAGACAGAGCGCCAGAGCTTCAGGCAGTTCACCTACAAGGAGACTTCGGGGCCTCGAGAGGCCTGCAGCTGCCTCCACTCTCTGTGCCGCCTGTGGCTGAAGCCCGAGCGACACTCCAAGGCAGAGATGCTGGACCTGGTGATCCTGGAGCAGTTCCTGGCCATCCTTCCTGCGGAGATGGAGCGCTGGGTGAGGGAATGTGGGGCAGAGACCAGCTCCCAGGCCGTGGCCTTGGCTGAAGGATTCCTCCTGAGTGAAGCAGAAGAGAAGACACTGGAGGAAAAGCAGGTGAGAGAATTTAATCTCAATACTTTCAAAGAAGCAGGGATGATTATGATGAAGAGAGTCAAACTCTAAATCTCCCAACCAACCTTCTTCTGGGTTGTTGTGAGGTTTTTGGGCTTTATGGCCATGTTCCAGTTTCCTTCTATCCTGATGTTTCTCCTGCATCTGTGGCTGGCATCTTCCCAAGTATGTTGAAGGTGAGGCAAGTGTATATATATCTGTGGAATGTCCAGCATGGGACAAAGAAACTTTGTCTGTTTAAAACAGTGGTTCCAACCTTTTTTTGACCAGGGACGACTTAACCAGGGACGACTTTGACAAGAGACCATTTGACCACGGACCATTTGACCAGGGACCACTTAACCAAGGACCACTTTGATCAGAGACCACATGACCAGGGACCACTTTGACCAGGGACCACTTGACCAGGGACCACTTTGACCAGGGACCACTTTGACCAAGGACCACTTTGACCAGGGATCACTTTGACCAAGTACCACTTTGACCAGGGACCACTTTGACCAGGGACCACTTCACCAGGGATCACTTTGGCCAGAAACCATTTGACCAGGAACCACTTTGACTAGGGACCACTTTGACCAGGGACCACTTTGACCATGCACCACTTGACCAGAGACCATTTGACCAGAGACCACTTTGACCAGGGATTACTCTCCAATATTAGTATCAAATGAGTTACAAATCAGTTTTGGCCAACTTTAGATTTGGTTTGGTTATTTGGGGTGCTGATTCAGAAAATTGCATTGGAATAGACCACATCAGCTCTAGTTTCTGATACAGAACATATCCCATCCAGTAGTCACCATCTGCTCGCCCACAGAAAGCTATATTTAATAATCTAGAGCTGATGTGGTTGTAGTAGACTTTCCTGGGTAGTCAACTTCTCCCCTCCCGACATCACTATAAGAGTGGGTTGTTGTAGGTTTTTCGGGGTATATGGCCATGTTCTAGAAGCATTCTCTCCTGACGTTTCGCCTGCATCTATGGCAGGCATCCTCAGAGGTTGACCTCCCAACCTCTGAGGATGCCTGCCACAGATGCAGGCAAAACATCAGGAGAGAATGCTTCTGGAACATGGCCATACAGCCCGAAAAACCTACAACAACCCAGTGATTCCAGCCATGAAAGCCTTTGACAATACAATCTGTAAATACTTGCTACTTTTCATAGGACAGTGACTTTGAGATGTGGTTTCGAGGCAACTGTATAGTAATGGTGAGGCTGCGGACCATGTTTTCATTCTTGTGAACCACTGGTGGTCCATGGACCACAGGTTGGGAACCACTGGAAGCAAGTGTGAAGGGAGCAATTAGCAAGCATGAATAACATTGAGTAGCCATGAAGCTGCAAAGTCAACCCTAACCCCTCACTGATAGACTTCAATGCTATTCAAGCTTGCTAATTGCAATATTCACACTTGCAACTTAAACAGATAAGGGGTCTTTCTACCACCCTGGACATTCCACAGGTATAAATATACACTCCACTTGACTCACTGCCAACAGAACCTCTGAAGATGCCAACCACAGGAGCAAGTGAAACGTTAGGAGGGAATGCTGCTGGAATATGGCCATACAGCCCGAAAAACTCACAGCAACCCACTGATTCCAGCCATGAAACCTTCAACACCTTTTTCCCTTTCCCTTTTCCATGTTCTGGTCATTCTGTGTTTCTTTAGATGACCGACTTGTTTGCAGAAGAGGCCATGACATTGGCGATGTCTCCCTCCAACTCCAAGCGGATTGTGCAGGACAGCGGTAGAACACCCACTTCCATAAGTAAGAATGAAGGTATACTTTTATAGTTGGGTCCACTCCTCCTTTTGATCTAGTCAGCATCTCCCCTTCCGACATCCTCTTTGCCTTGGCACTATAAGAGGGTTTTGCGAGACTAGTCACTCTTGTTGCCATGTGGTTTTGAAGCAACAATGTAGCAATGGTGAGGCTGCAGACCATAATTTTGTTCTTGCAGACCACTGGTGGTCCATGGACCACAGGTTGGGAACCACTCCTTAAATCTACTGCTTTTTCCAATAGTTGACATAGAATCATAGAATCAAAGAGTTGGAAGAGACCTCATGGGCCATCCAGTCCAACCCCCTGCCAAGAAGCAGGAATATTGCATTCAAATCACCCCTGACAGATGGCCATCCAGCCCCTGTTTAAAAACTTCCAAAGAAGGAGCCTCCACCACACTCCAGGGCAGAGAGTTCCACTGCTGAACGGCTCTCACAGTCAGGAAGTTCTTCCTCATGTTCAGATGGAATCTCCTCTCTTGTAGTTTGAAGCCATTGTTTCGCGTCCTAGTCTCCATGTTTATTTGAAAGAGTATGAAAAGGCAATAGCCAATTTTAAAAACCCTCACCTTTTCTATTCCTACAGGAGATGAAACAGAACCAATATGTCCTGGCTCACCTCTTCATTTCAACGTACACAGCTCAACGTATGTCAAACCAGATCAGGTAGGTGCTGGGATCCCTGATGCACCAAGAAGAGGGTCAAACTTCCTGAGGGTCAAACTGCCGCCGCCCCCCCTCTTTTTCTGCTGACTTTTATACTCAAGTAATAGGTCATGGAAAGTACTCTCTTTCCAGCCCCCCTCCTTTGACCTTTTGATGGAAAGTACCTTCTTGTACCTGCAGACTCTGCGCTTAACCACAACCTTTGAACTTAACCACAACACAACTACTTCCTATGTAGGCTTGAACTTTGTATGACCTCTACATGTCACATCTTGTTTCTTAAAAACATTTTCTTCTCTGTTGCTCCTTTTCTACAGAGAAAGGGTATATTTCTCTTTTGCTGTTAATTTCATTCAAAGCCCCTTGCTTAGCATTTGCAAATTTCACTCAAAGACCCTTTCACTCTAAGCTTTCCTTTCTTCTCATGATGTGGCCAAAGTACTTCAACTTTGTCTCTAGTCTCCTTCCCTCCATGAGCAGTCGGGCTTTATTTCCTGGAGGATGGACTGGTTGGATCTTCTCGCAGTCCAAGGCACTCTCAGGACTTTCCTCCAGCACCACAGTTCAAAAGCATCTCTCTTCCTTCGCTCAGCCTTCCTTATGGTCCAGCTCTCACATCCGTAGGTTACTATGGGGAATACCATTTCTTTAAATGTGCCGATAATTTTGCTATTTCTCCCTTTTTCCAACCAAGAGGCTTGCAGCAAAGTCCCTATGCAAAGATTTAAATCTAGATGGGTCACTACAAGCAACTGGTTTTCTCCTTGGGGAGAGCATTTCCTGCTCACCAATAATGTTTCTTTGTCCAGGCCATCTTCCAAGAGGTGACCGTGTCCTTCACTGAGGAGGAGTGGGCCCTGCTGGATGCGGATCAAAGGGACTTGCATCAGGAAGTCATGGAGGAGAATTTAAAGGCTGTGGCCTCCTTGGGTATGGCTCCTGTTTTCTGTGTTGTCAAAGGCTTTCATGGCTGGAATCACTGGGTTGCTGTGAGTTTTTCAGCCTGTATGGCCATGTTCCAGCAGCATTTTCTCCTAATGTTTCACCTGCATCTGTGGATGGCATCTTCAGAGGTTCTGTTGACAGTGAAGCAAGTGGAGTGTATATGTATCTGTGGAATAATGTCCAGGGTAAGAGAAAGTATTCTTGTCTGTGAAATAAGTGTGAATGTTGCTATTAAAATACCCTTAACTCTTAAATTTCTCTTTCTTGCCTGGACTCTTATTTATTTCATATCAAATGCATTGCATAAATTAGTATAAAACTGATAAAAATAGAAGGAGCGCAGGCGGCTAAATATTTTTTGACCAAAAACGGCCAACAGCAATGGCCTTGTCTGTAGCCTCCAACAATTCTTCCTCTGTACATGAGGCAGGGCATAGTGGATAAGCATACAGATGCGAAGTTGTCTGTTCTGCTCCACAGTCACACAAGGTGAGGGATTCTTTTAGGTAGTGCCATTTTGCCAGCTTGTCTTTTGATTTGCTAGCTCCACTTCTGAGTCTGTTCAGGGACTTCCAAGTTGCCTGGTCTTGGTTTGCCCCGAATAAGACCCTTGTATTTGGGGGGGGGGGGCATCCAGTTGGGATTTCCAGGTTTAGCTGCCCAGAGGGATACCCTTGCTGTTGCTGGGGGCAAGCCAAGAAGAGTTATATAAATCAAGGTTGGGAGGAGGCTGGTAGCCATGCAGTGGATGGTTTTCACAGTGTTCAAACTTATTTCTGATCAAAGATTTCTGTGCTTTCCAGGAGCTGGTGACTGGGAGAATGTGAAAGAACCATTGATGGAAGAAAACAGATCCACAGAGAGAGAAGACAGAGTTATCCCTTATTGGACAGTCAGACAAATGGAAAATGGTCCAGAAAAATCAGGTAATGGGTCAAAGTGTAGAGCATTGCAATAAAGAATAGGTTGGCTAACAGATGGTTGTTAATTAGGGCCAGAGCATGATGGCTGAATTATGTGACGATCTCTCTGGTTGGGGTGTAGTAGAGATGGGGGCAAGTATGCCTGCTATCTCTTCTTCCCCAGCATTTCAGTGGGAAGTGTGACCTGCTTTTGGTTGATTTTTTTTGTCGTGTCAGGAGCGACTTCAGAAACTGCAAGTCACTTCTGGTGTGAGAGAATTGGCCGTCTGCAAGGACGTTGCCCAGGGGACGCTCAGATGATTTGATGTTTTTTTATCATCCTTGTGGGAGGCTTCTCTCATGTCCCCGCATGAGGAGCTGAAGTTGATAGAGGGAGCTCATCTGCCTCTCCCCAGATTTGAACCTGTGACCTGTCGGTCTTCAGTTCTGCCGGCACAGGGGTTTAACCCACTGCGCCACCGGGGGCTCCACCTTTTGGCTGATGAGATAGTAAAATTACTTAGGACTGTTGTGATGCACTCTAGAGCTGAAAACACCTTTTCACCGAGCACCACACCATAATCCAGTAGCTCTATCTAAAAATGTTTAGTGAAGCAAGAAAGTAAAAAGGGGGGGAGGACAGGTCAGCAGAATAGGGAGTACAAAATAGTAGTAATCCAAGAATGCCAGAGTACATAAAATCAAGAGAACCACAATCCACAGTGGTACTTCTAACATAAATACATAAACATGAAAGCAATAACTTTTCTAAGGTAAACCCTTAAAGGAAGCAAAGGCAGGAACTAGGACAGGAAACTTGAGAATACTTGAATCATAAACTTGAGAGCAGAGACAGGAGAGCCAGCCATCCCTATGGCAGCGTTGTCTCCTCTGAAAGGCCTGAGATCCACACTCCTTAATTTAAGCCTGACCAATGTACCCATGAGATCATGTCAAAAGCACCTGGTCTTCAGACAGAGGAGATTCCATCTGAACATTAGGAAGAACTTCCTGACTGTGAGAGCCGTTCAGCAGTGGAACTCTCTGCCCCGGAGTGTGGTGGAGGCTCCTTCTTTGAAAGCTTTTAAGCAGAGGCTGGATGGCCATCTGTCAGGGGTGATTTGAATGCAATATTCCTGCTTCTTGGCAGGGGGTTGGACTGGATGGCCCATGAGGTCTCTTCCAACTCTTTGATTCTTTGATTCTATGATTCTATGATTCAAGGTCTTCTCACTCCCTCCGTTCTCAAGCCTAATCTAGCTTCTCTGGAAAACTCCCCATCAGATAAAGGCCATTTCCCAGGGGACCTGGGGCTGTCACTTTCCTTTGTTTCCCCTGTTGCCTGGGAACAAGTACTGGAATCCAAAACACCAGCCTCATCTGGCTGCAATTATCTCCTAGCACTGACGGATTTTTCACTTTGAAACCCATCAAATTCTCAGCTGCTTGCTGAGCTACAACATGTACCTTCAAATCATTTCAGACGTAGGGTAACCCTAAGTCTAAAAATTAGAGTGGTGGGCTGAGTAAATGGCCTTGGAGGACTGCATCTGGCCCACAGGCCTTAGTTTGAGGACCCCTGACCATGAGGTTTGAATGTTGGACTATGACTCTGCAAACCGAGCTTCGATTCCTTCCGTAGTCACAGTCACCCTCAGAAAACCCTTTTCTTTTGTCAGACAAAAAGTCTAAAAGTCCAAAAGAGTTGAATAAACACCTATAGGTCCCTCATTTCAGGTTTAGGCATTACTTTTTGAAAAATGGCATTCATAAACTTTTGGGAAAAACAGGTTTCTCCTAAGAAGAGTTAAAAACCTGCTTGAGTCAACCTTCCCTTAGTGGTAAATATCCACGTATTCATGCAAGGCAATTAGGTTTCTTAGCTGTTAGACTGATATACCTAGATATCACTTGGAATTGTTAGGAACAAAGATATGCCAATGCACAAAAAACAGCAGAGTTTCAGAAGTGTTTCGTCCAGTAACCCCCAAACATCTACTCTCCCTTAAAACATGCTCTCAAGAGACCAATAATAAAGTAAAATAGAGAATCCTAGAATTGGAAGAGACCTCAGGGCGGATCACAACGCACACATACACCGCAAACATTCAATGTCATTTTCTAGACAGACAGACAGACAGACAGAGGTATTTTGGCATTTCCACTTGGGAGCCTGGAGGTTATTCTTGATTCTGGCCAGGGGGGGAGCTGTCACTTCATCCACCATGAAAGGAAGTTATTCTGAAACCCCTCTTTTACCAAAAATTACTTTTCTTGTAATGATAAACTATTTAATGAGCACTTTAATCTTATACATGTTATTTTTCTTCTTTTTATTATGTGGCCTCATTTTCCTCATTGTTTAGCAACTCACAGAGAAGAGGATTCATTTCAATACCGGGACTGTGGAAAGAGTCAGGAGTTGTACCTCTCTCGTCAGCAAGCAACGTACACTAAGACGAAGCCCTTTAAGTGCTTGGAGTGTGGAAAATGTTTCAGTCAGAAGATCAGCATAGCTTGTCATCAGGCAATTCACACAGGAGAAAAACTGTTTACATGTTTGGACTGTGGGAAAAGTTTCAGTCGGAAGAGAAGCCTCACGTGTCACCAAGCAATTCACACTGGGGAGAAACCCTTCAAATGCTCGGAGTGCGGAAAGAGCTTCAGCCAGAAAATACACCTCACCAATCATCAAGCAACCCACACAGGGAAGAAGCCATTTCCATGCCCTGAATGTGGGAAGCATTTCAGTCGGAAGGAATACCTCGTTTCCCATCAAGCGACTCATTCTGGGGAGAAGCCATTTAAATGCCTGGAGTGTGGGAAGGGCTTCTGTCAGAAGAAACACCTCACTTATCATCAAGCCACTCATTCTGGGGAGAAGCCGTTCCAATGCATGGAGTGTGGAAAGTCTTTTATTCGGAAGGAACACCTCGCTTGCCATCAAAAAACTCACTCAGGGGAGAAACCCTTCAAATGCTTGGAGTGTGGAAAGAGCTTCCGCCAGAAAGAATACCTTGCCTCTCACCAAACCATTCACACAGGGAAGAAACCTTTCAAATGCTTAGGGTGTGGAAGCACTTTCACAGAAAAGAGAAGTCTCATTGACCACCAAGCAACACACTCTGGGGAAAAGCCCTTCGAGTGCTCAGATTGTGGAAAGAGCTTCCGGCGTAAGACCCACCTCACAGTACATCAAAGAATCCACACAGGAGAGAAGCCCTTTAAATGCTTGGAGTGTGGGAGAAGTTTTAGCTTGAAGACAACGCTCCATCTTCACCAAGCGACACACACAGGGGAAAAGCCATTTAAATGCCCTGACTGCGGGAAGAGTTTCTCTCGAAGGACTCGACTTACTGCGCATCAAGTCATTCACACCGGAGAGAAACCACATAAATGCTCAGAGTGTGGAAAGAGTTTCAGTTGGCGCCGAAGCATGATTCGTCATCAGATAACTCACACAGGAGAGAAGCCATTTCCATGCTCAGAATGTGGAAAGAGCTTCCTTCGGAAGACGGACCTCAAGCGTCATCAAGCTATTCACAAGAGGGAAAAGCATTGACGTGTTTGGAGTGAGGGAAGAGTTCGCCCAGAAAATTCGTCCCATTTCTCAATTGTTGAAGTGCTCAGAGTGCAGAAAGAACTGTTTTCCAAACCACGAGAGGCCTGAACTTTTGCTATAGAGTTAACTGAATTGAAAAAAGTATTCTTTTAAAGGTTTCGTGGGGATTATTGTGATTAAAAATATTTATTCCTGAACATGCTGACTTATTTTAATAAAATGTCAAATAAGAGAGTTCCGGAAAATAATTAGAGAAGGGTTCAAGCTGGGCAATATTCAATGCCAGTTCTATGAATCATAGAATCAAAGAGTTGGAAGAGACCTCATGGGCCATCCAGTCCAACCCACTGCCAAGAAGTAGGAATATTGCATTCAAATTACCCCTGACAGATGGCCATCCAGCCTCTGTTTAAAAGCTTCCAAAGAAGGAGCCTCCACCACTCCGGGGCAGAGAGTTCCACTGCTGAACGGCTCTCACAGTCAGGAAGTTCTTCCTCATGTTCAGATGGAATCTCCTTCTTGTAGTTTGAAGCCATTGTTCCGTGTCCTAGTCTCCAGGGAAGCAGAAAACAAGCTTGCTCCCTCCTCCCTGTGGCTTCCTCTCACATATTTATACATGGCTATCATATCTCCTCTCAGCCTTTCCTTCTTCAGGCTAAACATGCCCAGCTCCTTAAGCCGCTCCTCATAGGGCTTGTTCTCCAGACCCTTGATCATTTTAGTCGCCCTCCTCTGGACACATTCCAGCTTGTCAATATCTCTCTTGAATTGTGGGGCCCAGAATTGGACACAATATTCCAGATGTGGTCTAACCAAAGCAGAATAGAGCATGGGGGGCATGACTTCCTTAGATCCAGACACTAGGCTCCTATTGATGCAGGCCAAAATCCCATTGGCTTTTTTTGCCGCCACATCACATTGTTGGCTCATATGAATTATAAACAGTATTAAATAAATATCTATATATTGTAGGAGGCTTTCATGGCCGGAATCACTGGGTTGTTGTGTGTTTTTCCAGCCAGTACAGCCATGTCCCAGAAGCATTCTCTCCTGACGTTTCACCTGCAGGCATCCTCAGAGGTTGTGAGGTATGCTGGAAACTAGGAAAACAGGGTTTGACCTACCTCCAACAGACAAGAGTTCTTTCTCCCAACCTGAAAATTTCACAGATATATTTAACCCCATTTCCCTAGTTTCCAACACACCTCACAACCTCTGAGGATGCCTGCCATAGATGTGGGCGAAACATCAGGAGAGAATGCTTCTGGAACATGGCAATGCAGCCTGGAAAAAAACAAAACAACCTGATGCTGCTGATTTACCTTTTTAAAATGCTTTCTCCTTTTGGAAAATTTTCCCAACATTATAAAGTGGATTAAATATATATCTAAAACAAACAAACAAAAAACTTTCCTTCTGAACAAACTGGCATCTTCTGATGTAATATCAAAACAAGAATTACTGAAAATTTGTTTCAGGCTGGACAAGATCCATGGCCAGGAATATGAATTACTAACTTGGGTACCCGGCGTTGCCCGGGTTATGTGAAAAAGTCAATTTTTAATTGTACCAAATGCATAAGATTGTGTGTGAACTACAACTCACATCATGCCTGGTTAACCCCGAAAAACTCCATCAATATCTAAGCCAGTGGTTCTCAACCCACCTAATGCCGCGACCCCTTAATCCAGTCCCTCATGTTGTGGTGACCCCCAACCGTAACATTGTTTTTGTTGCTACTTCATAACACTCATTTTACTACTGTTATCAATCATAATGTAAATTATGCAGGATGTATTTTCATTCACTGGACCAAACTGGGCACAAATACCCAAGACGGCCAAATGTGAATGCTAGTGGGGTTGGGGGAGTATTGATTTTGTCATTTGGGAGTTGTAGTTGCTGGGATTTTTAGTTCACCTATAATCAAAGAGCATTCTGAACTCTGCCAGCGATAGATTTGAACCAAACTTGGCATACAGAACTCCCATGACCAACGGAAAACACCGGAAGGGTTTGGTGGGCATTGACCTTGAGTTTGGGAATTTTAGTTCACCTACATCCAGAGAGCACTGTGGACTCATGCAATGGTGGATCTGGACCAAACTTGGCACGAATACTCAATATGCCCAAATGTGAACACTGGTGGAGTATGGGGAAAATAGATCTTGACATTTGGGAGTTGTAGTTGCTGGGATTTATAGTTCATTACAATCAAAGAACATTCTCAACTCCACCAACGATAGAATTGGCTCAAACTTCCCACATGGAATCCCCATGACCATCAGAAAATACTGTGTTTTCTGATGGTCTTTGGTGACCCCTCTGACACCCCCTTGCAACCCCCCAGGGGTCCCCACCCCCAGGTTGAGAAACACTGATCTCAACGTTGATATGTTGGGCAAGTGATTCCCAACCTTTCGGCCGCAGTTGTCACACACCAGGGCTGGAAAGGCCCCTTTAAACCAATCTCACATTCCTTAGTTCAGTTTATAAACAAAGCAGTTTATTAAAGAATAAATGTGCCTTCAGCAAAAATGGTTAAAATGTCCAAGTTAATTCAAAATATAGTCCATGTAGAATAGGCACTTAGAAAAACTTGACAGCAATAGTCCACAAGACCACAGGCAAGATCTTTAAACTGGAATCTTGACAAAACATAGACATCCTGAAGATCAAAAGTACATGGCAGCTATAGCAGAACCACTGGTTGAGGTTCTGGGTTTGAGCCTGCCACTTTTGGACTCTCGCTTGCTGAGGTGTTCCAGCGAGTGTCTCTGTAGATCGTAGAAAACTATTTCTTGATTTAAGTCGTTGACGTGCTGGCTGATTCCTTGGCTAAGGATTGAAGATTGTGCGGATTAAACACCCCTACAATCTTCAGTTTGGGAACTGCTGCTTTATGTTATTTCAACCCTCTGCTGTTCCTGGGGAAATGAACAAGAAGAAATAATTTTAATGTATTGTCGAAGGCTTTCATGGCCAGAATCACTGGGTTGTTGTAGGGTTTTTTGGGGGGCTATATGGCCATGTTCTAAAGGCATTCTCTCCTGACGTTTCGCCTGCATCTATGGCAAGCATCCTCAGAGGTAGTGAGGTCTGTTGGAACTAGGAAAAAGGGTTTATATATCTGTGGAATGACCAGGATGGGACAAAGGACTCTTGTCTGCATGTTTCAACTGATCACCTTGATTAGCATATAATGGCCTGACAGTGCCTGGAGCAAACTTTTGTTGAGAGGTGATAAGATGTCTTTGTTTGTTGTAGGTTTTTTCGGGCTATATGGCCATGGTCTAGAGGCATTTCTCCTGACGTTTCGCCTGCATCTATGGCAAGCATCCTCAGAGGTAGTGAGGTCTGTTGGAACTAGGAAAAAGGGGTTTATATATCTGTGGAATGACCAGGTGGGACAAAGGACTCTTGTCTGCTGGAGCTAGGTGTGAATGTTTCAACTGACCACCTTGATTATTTCAACAGAAAGGAGGAAACCATGAAAATGAACAAAATCTGGCTACCAGTATTAAAAAAACTCTAAAATTACAACAGCGCAACAACAGAGAGGAAACAAACAAGGACATCTAATCACCTCTCAACAAAAGTTTGCCTAGGCACTGTCAGGCCAAGGTAGTCAGTTGAAACATTCACACCTAGCTCCAGCAGACAAGAGTCCGTTTCGCCTGCATCTATGGCAAGCATCCACTTTCATGGCAGGAATCACTGGGTTGTAGGTTTTTTCGGGCTATATGGCCATGGTCTAGAGGCATTCTCTCCTGACGTTTTGTTTGCATCTATGGCCAGGATCCTCAGAGGTAGTGAGATCTGTTGGAACTACCTAGCTCCAGCAGACAAGAGTCCTTTGTCTCACCCTGATCATTCCACAGATATATAAACCCCTTTTCCTAGTTTCAACAGACCTCACAATACCTCTGAGGATGCTTGCCATAGATGCAGGCGAAACGTCAGGAGAAAATGCCTCTAGAACATGGCCATATAGCCTGAAAAAGCCTACAACAACCTAGTGATTCTGGCCATGAAAGCCTTCGACAATACACTGCCCTAGCCCTCTTTGGCAGAGAAGGCTAAAGAGCAATCTTGTAGAACTACAACTCCCAGGAATCCACAACATTGAGCCGGGGCCACTGAAGTGGTGTCAGCCTGAATTCATTCTACAGCAAACATGCTCAAACTGCGGCCCTCCAGCTGTTTGTGCCTTCAACTCTCAGAATACCTGACAAGGGAACAAGCCTGTTAGGAATTCTCAGAGTTGGAGGCCCAAACAGCTGGAAGGCCGCAGTTTGAGGGTGCCTGTTCTACAGCATAGAGTCACCCAAGGAAGCTGAGGGCAGAGAAACAGGAGAGCTTCCTGGAGGGAAGTGTTGCCTTTTTTCTCTGGTTTTCTTTTCCATTGCTGGATGATTTGGTGTTTTAAAGAAGCAGCTCTGAGCAGGCAGTAACAGTAACGCCCAAATGTTGCCAGTGGCTTCCTCCGAATCCTAGCCTACAGCATATGGGATTCATTGGTGTCTCTCATCCAAGCACTACCAGAGCTACTCCTTCTTAGCTTCCAAGGACAGAAAGTGTAGCTCCAGCAGACAAGAGTCCTTTGTCCCACCCTGGTCATTCCACAGATATATAAACCCTTTTTCCTAGTTCCAACAGACCTCACTACCTCTGAGGATGCTTGCCATAGATGCAGGCGAAACGTCAGGAGAGAATGACTCTAGAGCAGTGTTTCTCAACCTGGGGGTGGGGACCCCTGGAGGGGTCTAGAGGGGTGTCAGAGGGGTCACCAAAGACCACCAGAAAACACCGTATTTCTGTTGGTCATGAGGGTTCTGTGTGGGAAGTTTGGCCCAATTCATCATTGGTGGGGTTCATTCCTGTGAAGTTTGGTCCAGATCCATCATTGTTTGAGTCCACAGTGCTCTCTGAATGCAGGTGAACTACAACTCCAAAACTCAAGGTCAATGCCCACCAAACCCTTCCAATATTTTCTGTTGGTCATGGGAGTTCTGTGTGCCAAGTTTGGTTCAATTCCATTGTTGGTGGAGTTCAGAATGCTCTTTGATTGTAGGTGAACTATAAATCCCAGCAACTACAACCCAAATGACAAAATCAATCCTCCCAACCCCGCCAGTATTCAAATTTGGGTGTATTGGGCATTTGTGCCAAATTTGGTACAGTGAATGAAAATACATCCTGCATATCGGATATTTAAATTATGATTCATAACAGTAGCAACATTACAGTATGAAGTAGCAATGAAACTAATTTTATGGTTGGAGGTCACCACAACATGAGGAAGCATATTAAGGGGTCACAGCATTAGGAAGGTTGAGAACCACTGCTCTAGACCATGGCCACAGAGCCCGAAAAAACCTACAACAACCCAATTCCACGTGTCTTCCAGAGGGAGGTTTGGCTAGTTGGCTTCCAAAGAGTTAAAGCAAAACATGTGGATTCCTAGAGAGTAAGTGAGTGGCCAATCAGAATCCTTCTGCAGGCCAGGCCCCTCCTCTTCTGGCCATGTGGAGAAGAGGACTCAGTAAGTCTTGGGAAGTTTCCTGACTTGGGGAGAGAGAGAGTGCCTTCCTTCCTTCCTTCCTTCCTTCCTTCCTTCCTTCCTTCCTTCCTTCCTTCCTTCCTTCCTTCCTTCCTTCCTTCCTTCCTTCCCAGAGGGGGCCATGGCTCTCCTGCTGCCCAGGTTGGAGCCTGGCTGCAAGGAGAGGCCGCAGGAGGGAAGCCAGCCCGGTGGTGCATCTTCAGGCCCAGCAGAGCCAAGCCAGGACCCCTCCTGCCTTTCCTGCTGCTGCTGCTGCTGCTGGGAATGGAGGGCAGTGGTGGGGAGGAAGTTCCCAGGCCGTGGCCTTGGCTGAAGGCTTCCTCCTGAGTCCGGTCCAAGAGGAGAAGGACAATAAACAACAGGTGAGAGAGAGAAGCTCATCCCTGTGCTTCCAAAGAGCCAGGAATGCTTATGATGAAGGGAGCCAAACTCCAGATCCCTCCCTCCCCTCTTGCCCTTATTTACTGATCATTTGTTTATATGTCCTTTTGGTGTATTTTCAGATGGCGGACTTGTGTGCAGAAGTCTCTTCCGCCTTGGAAAGGCCTCCCTCCACCTCCAGCCGGATGCCGGATTGTGCAGGACAAAGGGACCCTCCCAGCTCCACAAGTACAGACCCAGCAACACTTGGGTGGCTCGACTCCATTCCTTTGAAGTCTTTGTGGCTCAATGAACCTATATATGTATGAAAGGGATCCAGAAGCTTTTAGATCAGTGGTCCTCAACCTTCCTAATGCCGCGACCCCTTAATACAGTTCCCCATGTTGTGGTGACCCCCAACCATAAATTTTTGTTGCTACTTCATAACTGTCATTTTGCTACTGTTATGAATCGTCATGTAAATATCTGATATGCAAGATCCATTTTCAGTCACTGCACCAAATTTGGCACAAATACCCAATACGCCCAAATTTGAATACTGGTGAGGTTGGGGGTGATAGATTTTGTCATTTGGCACCAGCAAAGCAAAATCCCACGAGAACATAGAATCAAAGAGTTGGAAGAGACCTCCTGGGCCATCCAGTCCAACCCCATTCTGCCAAGAAGCAGGAATGTTGCATTCAAATCACCTCTGACAGATGGCCATCCAGCCTCTGTTTAAAAGCTTCCAAAGAAGGAGCCTCCACCACACTCCGGGGCAGAGAGTTCCACTGCTGAACGGCTCTCACAGTCAGGAAGTTCTTCCTCATGTTCAGATGGAATCTCCTCTCTTGTAGTTTGAAGCCATTGTTCCATTGCATCCTAGTCTCCAGGGAAGCAGAAAACAAGCTTGCTCCCTCCTCCCTGTGGCTTCCTCTCACATATTTATACATGGCTATCATATCTCCTCTCAGCCTTCTCTTCTTCAGGCTAAACATGCCCAGCTCCTTAAGCCGCTCCTCATAGGGCTTGTTCTCCAGACCTTTTGACACCTAGAGTCAAAGAGCATTCTGAACTCCACCAATGATGGAATTGAACCAATCTTGGCACACAGACAGAGGCGGCCCTAGGTAATTTTCAACGGTAAGCAAACAATATTTTGGGGCCCTCCCACCAATAACTGATATATATTTTCTGTTTGTCGTGGGAGTTCTGTGTGCCGTATTTGGTTCATTTCCATCATTGGTGGAGTTCAGAATGTTCTTTGACTGTAGGTGAACTATACATCCCAGTAACTACAACTCGCGTATGTCAAGGTCTATTTTCCCTAGGTAATTTTCAAGTGTAAGCAAACAGTATTTTGGTGCCCCCCCAACCAATCATATATATATATATATATATTCTGTTTGTCGTGGAGTTCACTTGGCACACAAGACTCCCATGACCAACAGAAAATACTGGAAGGGTTTGTTGGGCATTGACCTGAGTTTTGGAGTTGTAGTTCACTCATCCAGAGAGCACTGTGGAAAACAATGATGGATCTGGACCAAACTTGGCACGAATACTCAATATGCCACAATGTGACACTGGTGGAGTTTGGGGAAAAAGACCTTGAGATTTGGGATGTAGTTACTGGGATTTATAGTTCATTACAATCAAAGAGCATTCTGAACCATCCAATGATGGAATTGAAAAACTTGCACACAGAACTCCCATGACCAACAGAAAATATTGCAAGGGTTTGTGGGCATTGACCTTGAGTTTTGGAGTTGTAGTTCACCTACATCCAGAGGCACTGTGGATTCAAACAAATGATGGATCTGAACCAAACGTGCACGAATATTCAATATGCCCAAATGTGACCACTGGTGGAGTTTGGGGAAAAGAGACCTTGATATTTGGAAGTTGTAGTTACTAGGATTTATAGTTCATCTGCAATCAAAGAGCATTCTGAACCCCACCAATGATGGAATTGAGCACCCAGAGCTCCCATGACTAACAGAAAACACTGGAAGGGTTTGATGGGCATTAACCTCGAGTCTTGGAGTTGTAGTTCACTTACATCCAGAGAGCACTGTAAACAATAATGGATCTGGACCAAACTTGGCACAAATCCTCAATATGCCTCAATGTGAAGAGTGCTGGAGTTTGGGGAAAATAGGCTTTGACATTTGGGAGTTATAGTTGCTGGGATTTGTAGTTCATCTGTAATCAAAGCGCATTCTGAACCCCATCAATAATAGAATTGGGCCAGACTTCCTATAAAGAACACCCATGACCAATAGAAAATACTGTGTTTTCTGATGGTCTTTGGCAACCCCTCTGACACCACCACGCGACACCCCCCCACCCGGGGTCCCGACCCCCAGGTTGAGAAACACTGCTTTAGATACACAGGTTCTCCTGAACAGGAGGGAACAATACAACTCCCTTCTGCCAGCCGGGCAAGGAAGGGGAAGAGAAGGGAGTTTGGTTCCTAGAGGGACAGGAAAGGCCAGTATAAGGAGGCCCCCTTCATTCCTGCCTCTCTCCCCTTAAGACTTCCTTGCCCAGCGTTACACTGGAAGGAGGGGGAAAGAGCATCTCTCCAATGCCCTAGAACCAAAGGACAAAAGATGATGGCAGAGATGTAGTCAAAGAGGGAAAATTCTATATTCATAGGATTTGTTGTTGCTTATTCATTCAGTCGCTGTTGGTCAGGCAAGGTGCTCTGAAAAACCCATTGTGAGTACAATTGAGATACTGAGATATAGATAGATAGATAGATAGATAGATAGATAGATAGATAGATAGATAGATAGAATAGGTATTGAGTTATAGAGTTATAGATAGATATTGAGTTATATTTTTATTTATTTTTATTTTATTCGTCGTGTCAGGGCAACCAGTCAATTGTATTACATTTCTAACGGAACAAAGCAAACAAACAGACAAAATACAAAATTTGTGAGTTTGGGAGTTGATGAAATGTCCTTTGACCCGTATCTGGCCCCTTGGAGTGCCTCTGGTGTTGCCGCAAGAAGGTCCTCCCTTGTGCATGTGGCAGGGCTCAGGTTGCATTGCAGCAGGTGGTCTGTGGTTTACTCTTCTCCACCCTTGCATGTTTTGGATTCCACTTTGTAGCCCCATTTCTTAAGGTTGGCTCTGCATCTCGTGGTGCCAGAGCACAGTCTGTTCAGCGCCTTCCAAGTCGCCCAGTTTTCTGTGTACCCAGGGGGGAGTCTCTCATTTGGTATCAGCCATGGTTGAGGTTCTGGGTTTGAGCCTGCCACTTTTGGACTCTCGCTTGCTGAGCTGTTCCAGCGAGTGTCTCTGTAGATCTTAGAAAACTATTTCTAGATTTAAGTCGTTGACGTGCTGGCTGATACCCAAACGGGATGAGCTGGAGATGTCTCTGCCTTGGTCCTTTCACTATTGCTACTTCCTGGCGGATGTCAGGTGGTGCAATACCGGCTAAGCAGTGTAATTTCTCCAGTGGTGTAGGGCTCAGACACCCCGTGAGTTATAGATAGATATTGAGTCATAGATAGAAATTGAGTATAATTGAGATAGATAGATAGAATAACAATTGAGTTATATATAGAGAGATATTAAGATATTGAGATAGTAATTGTGTAATTGAGAAATAGAGAGAATTAGTTATTGAGTACTATTGAGCATTACTTCATCTCCAAAACTGACCTTGTGCTTAGATAGGGAAAGACCTGTTCTTTCTTACCATAGCAGCTCAGGGTTAGGGTGAAATATCTCAGGATTTTTTCTACCATTTGGAAAAAGGTTACCTCAGTAATTGAAGAAGAAGGGAAAGAAAGAACATCTCTATGGTTTCTCAAATTGACTGTTTGTGTTGTAACTTTGTCAAGCTGTGCCAAGTTGGCCAAGGAAATAAATATTTTGTTGCTTTTCATGTCTTGACTGGCATCAGTTGCTGAAAGTATTGAGTTATTTCTTCAAAGAAAGACCCCCAGCAGTTCGCCCAGATAAAGAGCGAAGTACATCTTAGTTCGTTATAGGGTCTGGGTGTGACGGCACAGGGCTCACTAGAAAAGGCAATGTCTTAGTAAGATAGAAGGCAGCAGGAAAAGAGAGAGATTGAATTACAGGGGGTGGACTCCATCAAGGGAGACATGGCTGTCTTGAATCTCCAAGACCTGAGCAGACCTGGCTTGGAGGTCCCTCATTCATAGAATCTGTCAAAGTGGCCTGAAGGCACTTACCAACAACAACAACAACACCTCTTCATCCACAGCCTTGCTCAGGTCTTGCCTTTCATGATTGAATATAGTATTATAAAATAATACAATCCTAGAGTTGGAAGAGCCCACAAGGGCCATCCAGTCCTAGCTTCCTGCCAGGCAGGAATACACATTCAAAGCACTCTTAATGGATGGCCATCCAGCCTCTGTTTAAAAACCTCCAGAGAAAGAGTCGCAGAGTATTCCATTGTTTAACCACTCTTACCATTAGGAAGATGGTACCACCAGAAATGGAGACCGTGGCCAATAAAATACCCTTGCCTTTTCTCTTCCTACAGGAGGTGAATCACAACCAACACATACTGGCTTATCTCTTCCTTCTGAAGTATGCAGCGCACCAAATCAGGTAGGTGAGAGAATCCCTGATGGGCCAAGAAGGGCTCAGGCTTCCGGCATCCTCTTTGCATTACCATTTTCTCCTCTTTCCACCCAAGATGCCTGCAGCAAAATCCCTGCATAAAGATGGACATCTGTATCAGCCACCAGAAGCAACTGGTTTCTGGCTGTGGTCAGCGTGTCCTGCTTACCGATCATGTTTCTCTGTCCAGGTGACCTTCCAAGAGGTGGCCGTGTCCTTCAGTGAGGAGGAGTGGGCCCTGCTGAATCCGGACCAAAGGGCCTTGTATCAGGAGGTCACGGAGGAAATTCTGGAGACTTGGTCCTCTTTAAGTAAGGCTCTCTCTTGTGTAAGAAAGTATTAGTCACAACATGACAGAGCTGCATAATGTCACTTAATGCTGCTGCGTTTGGTGGTCCCTATGTAGACTTGTCCACAGCTGCATAGTACATGGTAGACTCCTGCAGAGGTGACAGGATCCCTCTTGTCCTTTGCTGTGGTGTTTTGAAAGTCCTTTTGGCTGCGAGAAATTGTGGGATGGTATCTGTGTCTGCAGCGTAGAAGGACGTAGATGAACCAACCTGGACACAGCATTTTATTTGAGAACACAGAAATGCTGGACCACTCTCACAACCACCATGTCAGACTTCACAGAGAAGCCACTGAAATCCACAAGCATGTGGACAATTTCAACAGAAAGGAGGAAACCATGAAAATGAACAAAATCTGGCTACCAGTATTAAAACACTCAAAAATTACAACAGCAAAACAACAGAGAATAAACAATCAGGCACATCTAATCACCTTTCAACAAAAGATTCCCCCAGGCACTGTCAAGCCATCAAATGCTAATCAAGGTGGTCAGTTGAAACATTCCCACCTAGCTCCAGCAGACAAGAGTCCTTTGTCCCACCCTGGTCATTCCACAGATATATAAACCCCTTTTTTCCTACTTCCAACAGACCTCACTACCTCTGAGGATGCTTGCCCTAGATGCAGGTGAAACGTCAGGAGAAAATGCCTCTAGAACATGGCCATATAGCCCAGAAAAACCTACAACAACCCAATGATTCTGGCCATGAAAGCCTTCGACAATCCATTTATTATTATTATTATTATTATTATTATTATTAATTAGACAAACCAATCACAGAGTTTTCTGGTGCTCATATTGTGTGACTCATACAAGGTCACTCAGTAGGTTTCCATGACTGAGCAGGAAATTATAGTGTCTAGAAGAGCCACAGTCCAATGTTCAAACCACTCCAATTGAGAGGTTGTCCACTTTTTTCCTAATGCTAATTTCATTTATTTATTTATTTAAACCTTTTATATCCCGATCTTCTCAACCTCCATAGAGGGACTCAGACTAGCTAACAGCAAGGATTCAATGCTAACAATAAAATATAAAACAATATACATCAATAATGAATAAAAATACATATAGGATAAAATACATATAAGCCATCCACCAAGATAAAATCATGTCCAATTCAGTCCGCACATTATGGTTGATAACTGGTCAATAGCAGGTCTCAGCCACGATTCTGTAAATGCCTCGTTCCACAGCCAGGATTTCACTAGCTTCCTAAAGGTCAGGAGGGAGGGGGCAGATCTGATTTCATTCGGGAGAGAGTTCTATAGCTGTGGGGCCACCACAGAAAAGGCCCTGTCTCTCGTCCCCACCAGACGCGACTGCGAAAGTGGCGGGACCGAGAGCAGGGCCTCTCCAGAAGATCTTAACAGCCTTGATGGTTCATAGGGGAGAATACATTCGGACAGCAATCATACAACAGCAAACCCCCTCCCCCCCCAAATTAGCTCTTTAGGCTGCAGTCCCTCAGATTTGTCACAAAATATGTGGAGCATTCTGTTTCTGGGTCAACAAGAACTGCTTGTTTGTAATTTGGTTTAGTATTAGCAAAACCTTTTTTCAAAAATGCAGAAATGGGTGCTCTCTTTTTCACAGTTCGTCAGATCAATTAGTAACTAGCATGTGCCCTGTATGGGCGGTTTCCCCCACCTGAGCCTTTGGGAAAGTGATATCTTCTACAGATTTTACGGTTTGCTACCCCTGGAAGGTATCATTTAGTCTTGCTAAAGAGGGTACATCCAGGTGTCATCGTTGGAAGCTACAAGAAAGTAGATTTTGAGTTAGCCGTAGAAGGAAACTTTTGAAGTGAGAGAATTTCAGCAATGGGATTGATTGCCTAAACTGTTGGTGAGCACTTTAATGATACCTATTAACATTGGTTGTTTTTAAAATATGTGTTCTTGTTGTGTTTGTTGTCAAGCAACTCACAGAGAAGGGGAGTCATCTCAATACCGGGACTGTGGAGAGAATCAGGAGCTGTGCCTCTCTCGTCAGCAAGCAAAGTCCACTGAGTGGAAGCCCTTCAAGTGCTTGGAGTGTGGAAAATGTTTCTGTCACAAGCAAACCATTGCTTATCATCAAGCAATGCACAACAGAGAGAAAGAGTTCAAATGTTTGGAATGTCAAAAGTCTTTTATCCGGAAGGAAGATCTCACTTCTCATCAAAAAATTCACTCGGAGGGAAAACCCTTTAAATGCTTGGAATGTGGAAAGTCTTTTATTCGGAAGGGTCATCTCACTTCCCATCAAAAAATTCACTCAGGGAAGAAACCCTTTAAATGCTTGGAGTGTGGAAAGAGTTTCACTCGTAAGCTAAGCCTCACCTATCATCAAGCTATCCATACTGGGAAGAAGCAATTTAAATGCTTGGAGTGTGGAAAGTCTTTTATTCGGAAGGGAGATCTCACTTCTCATCAAAAAATTCACTCGGAGGGAAAACCTTTTAAATGCTTGGAGTGTGGAAAGTCTTTTATTCGGAAGGGTCATCTCACTTCTCATCAAATAATTCACTCAGGGAAGAAACCCTTTAAATGCTTGGAGTGTGGAAAGAGTTTCACTCGTAAGCTAAGCCTCACCTATCATCAAGCTATCCATACTGGGAAGAAGCAATTTAAATGCTTGGAGTGTGGAAAGAGTTTTACGCGGAAGCCAAGCCTCATCTATCATCAAGCTACTCATACTGGGGAGAAGCCATTTAAGTGCTTGGAGTGTGGGAAGGGCTTCCGTCAGAAGACAAACCTAACCTATCATCAAGCTACTCATACTGGGGAGAAGCCATTTAAATGCTTGGAGTGTGGAAAGCGTTTCACTCGTAAGTTAAGCCTTACCTATCATCAAGCAGTCCATTCTGGGGAGAAGCCATTTAAATGCTTGGAGTGTGGCAAAAGTTTCAGTCGTAAGTTAAGCCTTACCTATCATCAAGCAGTACATTCTGGGGTGAAGCCATTTAAATGCTTGGAGTGTGGGAAGGGCTTCATTGAGAAGAAACGCCTGATTTATCACCAAGCTACTCATACTGGGCAGAAGCCATTTCAGTGCTTGAAGTGTGGAAAGCATTTCACTCATAAGTTAAGCCTCGCCTATCATCAAGCAGTACATTCTGGGGAGAAGCCATTTAAATGCTTGGTGTGTGGGAAGGGCTTCATTCAGAAGATAAAGCTCACCTATCACCAAGCTACTCATACTGCGGAGAAGCCATTTAAATGCTTGAAGTGTGGAAAGCATTTCACTCATAAGTTAAGCCTCACCTATCATCAAGCAATCCATTCTGGGGAGAAGCCATTTAAATGCCTGGAGTGTGGGAAGGGCTTTGTTCATAAGAGAAGCCTCACCTATCATCAAGCAGTCCATTCTGAGGAGAAGCCATTTAAATGCCTGGAGTGTGGGAAGGGCTTCATTATTAAGAGAAGCCTCACCTATCATCAAGCTATTCATACTGGGCAGAAACCATTTAAATGCTTGGATTGTGGAAAGAGTTTCACTACAAAGAAAAACCTCATGTATCATCAAGCTACTCATACTGGGGAAAAGCCATTTAAGTGCTTGGAGTGTGGAAAGGACTTCATTGAGAAGACAAGACTCACCTATCATCAAGCTACTCATACTGGTCAGAAACCATTTAAATGCTTGGAATGTGGGAAGGGCTTCGCAGAGAAGACAAGCCTCACCTATCATCAAGCTATTCATACTGGGCAGAAGCCATTTAAATGCTTGGAGTGTGGGAAGGGCTTCATTCAGAAGACAAACCTCACCTATCATCAAGCAGTCCATTCTGGGGAGAAGCCATTTAAATGCTTGGAGTGTGGGAAGGGCTTCATTCAGAAGACAAGCTTCACCTATCATAAAGCAGTCCATTCTGGGGTGAAGCCATTTAAATGCCTGGTGTGTGGGAAGGGCTTCATTCAGAAGTCAAGACTCACCTATCATCAAGCTACTCATACTGGTCAGAAACCATTTAAATGCTTGGAATGCGGAAAGGGCTTCACTTCGAAGACAGGCCTTACCAATCATGAAGCTATTCATACTGGGAAGACACCATTTAAATGCTCTGAGTGTGGGAAATGTTTTGCTCAGAAGATAAGCCTCACCTATCATCAAGCTACTCATACTGGGGAGAAGCCATTTAAATGCTTGGAGTGTGGGAAGAGTTACACTCAGAAGATAAACCTCACCTATCATCAAGCTACTCATACTGGGGAGAAGCCATTTAAATGCTTAGAGTGTGGAAAGGGCTTCATTTCGAAGATAAACCTCACCTATCATCAAGTGACTCATACTGGGGACAAGCCATTTAAATGCTTGGAGTGTGGGAAAGGTTTCGCTCAGAAGAAAGGCCTCACCTATCATCAAGCTACTCATACTGGGGAGAAGCCATTTAAATGCTTGGAGTGTGGGAAAGGCTTCATTCAAAAGAGAAATCTCAGTTGTCACCAAGCTACTCATACTGGGGAGAAGCCATTTAAATGCTTGGAGTGTGGAAAGAGTTTCATTCTGAAGACAAGGTTTACCGATCATCAAGCTACTCATACTGGGGAGAAACCATTTAAATGCCTGGAATGTGGAAAGGGCTTCCCTCACAGGAGAAGCCTCAAACAACATCAAAGAATCCACGCTGGAGAAAAACCATTTCAACGCTTGGAGTGCGGAAAGGGCTCCCCACACAATGCAAGCCTCACACAACATCAAAGAATCCACACTGGAGAAAATCCATTTCAATGCTTGGAGTGTGGAAAGGGCTTCCCACACAAGGCAAGCCTCACCTATCACCAAGCAATCCATTCTGGGAAGCAGCCATTTAAATGCTAGGATTGTGGGAAGGGCTACCCACACAAGGCAAAGCTCACAGAACACTAAAAAATCAAACTGAAGAGAAACCATTTCCAATGCTTGGAGTATTATATAAGTTTCCAACAGAAGAAAAGCCAGCATCTTCATCAAGCAAAACACACAGGGGAAAGAACCCTTTAAATGCCCGATGTGCGGAAAGATCTTTTGCCAGTAGAGACACCTTTCTTTGCCCTCATCCAAACCATGAGGAAACTGAACTTCTTTAATACGAAAGAGATGACTTTAAAATTCTATTTCTTTATTGTTGTTTTTTCAGGAATGACTGGAATTTTTAAAAATCATTCTTTATAGACAAACTGGCTTCTTTTGATGAAATATCAAAAAAACACTTGCTGAAAATAAGACAGAAGGACAAAAAAGAGATTTCAGGCTAGACAAGATTCATGGCCAGGAATATGAAGTATGGATCTCAGGACTCCACTTTTTCTTTCCACAAAGGAGACTCAAAGCAGCTGTTCTCTTTGCTCTTCGATGAGCATGGAAAGATGTCTGCTGTGGGTTAGACGGATAGCCAGGCCCCTGTTCACTTTCCTATGTTCTTTGAATAAAGTTTATTATAACTTGTTAAGCTTGACTCTGTTCCTGAATTGTTTAAGCTCAATCGCTCTGTTGCTGTCACCAGAAGCTTCTCATTTGCTAAACTGCTACTGCTACAGCTGTTGCTGCTGATTTACCTTTTTTGAGAGCTTTCTTCTTTTGGAAAATTTAGAAATATTTAAGTGGGTTAAATATATATCTCATACAAATTATATTTTTAGTGTTTAAAACATTTTCAGGTTTTTTAAAAAAATACTAGTATGGGTACCCGGTAATACATTTGAAAAAGGCATTGTTTGTTTTGGTGTGAAATGTAATATCATTTAGTTAATTTGTAACACTATTAGAAAAAAAGCCATTTTTTAATTTGTTTTTTATGAATGCTCCTATTAGAAACGCTTAAGGTTGTGGTGAACTATAATTCCCAGAATTGTGGGCCAAACCTCCCCAAATCAGGCCTGTATGCACAGTTGGCCATGTTGCATCTATGTGCCAAGTTTGTTCCAAAGTCAACGTTGGCTGTGTTGAGTGCTCTCTGGATGCAGATGAACTACAACTCCCAGATTCCTAGGGCAGTCACCCCCAAACTCTGCCTGTATTCACAGTTGGGCCTGGTGCATCTACGTGTCAAGTTTGTTGAGCTACAACTCCTATAAATCAAGATGAATTCCTCCAAATCTCTTGTTCAGTTGCTGATCAATTCCTGTTTGCCATAGGAAAGAGTAGGAAAGGCAGAGGGTGGGGTCATGCAAATTCCACACACATGGAGAGAGAGAAAGTAACGCTGAGATGTCCATTCTGAAGGAAAAACAGAACATCTAGGATGAAATTGTCCCCGAATGAAAGCATTCCTCGGTTGGTGGGCAGGATGGTGTTTGAGGAGGACATTGACAGGGGTTGGGAGACATGTTCATGGGGCCGGTATAACCTGAAATGTTCTTGGAGGGAACGCTTTGGGTGGTTCCTCTGCACTTGATGCATTTTAACACTGAATCTTTTAATACTGTTTACATTTAATTCTGTTTTAATATTTGTATATTTTGAATGGTGTGCTCATGTTTTTATGTAAAGTCGCTTTGAGACTATCTTTAAACAGACAAAGGTTCTATCTCCTACTCTGGACCATCCACAGGTGTATGTGTGTGTATGTATGTGTATGTATGTACAGTATATATATACACACACAAATATATACTCACACATCCCACTTGCCTCATTTCCAAGAGACCTCTGCACAAACTTCTGAGGATGCCAGCCACAGATGCAGGCTAAACGTCAGGAGAGAATGCGACCAGAACATGGTCATACAGCCCAAAAAACTCACAGCAACCCAAGATCAATACTATTTGAATGGGCCATTGCCATTGGATGGTATTGATCCCCACTGTGCAAAGTCACTAGAAGTGAAAAGATCTTTCCCTGCCCTTCTCTTCCAAATCTGGCACATTCAGTCATGCAGGGACATGAGAGAAGCCTCCCACAAGGATGATAAAAACATCAAATCATCCGGGCATCCCCTGGGCAATGTCCTTGCAGACGGCCAATTCTCTCACAACAAGAGCGACTTGCAGTTTCTCAGGTCGCTCCTGACACGACCAAAAAAAAAAAGTCTGTGGTTCTACATGGGGGCCTTCCAAATGTCACTGTGGTTCTTACGTGGAACTTTATGGAATCCACAACTTATAATACGTCCAGAGAAAGGCTGCCAAAAAGGTCTATTCTCGTGGCCAAACTCTATTTGAATGTATTGTTGAAGGCTTTCATGGCTGGAATCACTAAGTTGGTGGGTTTTTTCGGGCTATATGGCCATGTTCTAGAGGCATTTCTCCTGACGTTTCACCTGCATCTATGGCAAGCATCCTCAGAGGTGAGATCTGTTGGAGCTGGGAAAAGGGTTTATATATCTAATCAAGGTGGTCAGTTGAAATTTTCACACCTAGCCCAACTGACAAAAGTCCTTTGTCTCACCCTGGTCATTCCACAGATATATAAACCCTTTCCCCAGCTCCAACAGACCTCACCTCTGAGGATGCTTGCCATAGATGCAGGCAAAACGTCAGGAGAAAATGCCTCCAGAACATGGCCATATAGCCCGGAAAAACCTACAACAATCTATTTGGTTTGCTTGTGGTTCCCTTTTGGGACTCTTAAATGCATTTGGGGGCTAAAGTCTAGGGCCCCAGCATAGCCTGATCCAGGATGCATCTACACTGCAGAGTTAATGCAGTTTGGCAGCACTTTTAATTGCCATGCCTAAGTGCTATGCATGTAATCCTGGGAGTTGTAGTTTGGGGAAGCACCAGCAATCTTTCGCAGAGAAGGTGAAAGACATTGCAAACTCCTGTTCCATAGCATTGAACCATAGCAGTAAAAGGGGTCAGAGTGCATTGATTCCAGTGTAGATTCACCCAAGAACTTTGGAATCACCTAGGACACATCCAGAGGACCTCAGTTTGGGAACTGCTGCTCTGAGTTATTTGACCTCTCTTGTGTTCCTGGGAAAATGCCTTGTAAGCAGCATCTCCCCATGTATTTTGGAGGGAGGTTTTGCTAGTTGGCTTCCAAAGAGTTAAACCAAAACATGTGGATTCCTAGAGGGAAAGTGAGTGGCCAATCAGATGCCTCCTCTTCTGGCCATGTGGAACTCTTCCTGGAGGAGGAGGAGTGTCTGGGAGACCCTTGGGAGGTTTCCTGACTTGGGGAGAGAGAGAGTGCCTTCCTTCCTTCCTTCCTTCCTTCCTTCCTTCCTTCCTTCCTTCCTTCCTTCCTTCCTTCCTTCCTTCCTTCCTTCCTTCCTTCCCAGAGGGGGCCATGGCTCTCCTGCTGCCCAGGTTGGAGCCTGGCTGCAAGGAGAGGCCGCAGGAGGGAAGCCAGCCCGGTGGTGCATCTTCAGGCCCAGCAGAGCCAAGCCAGGACCCTCCGCCTGCCTTTCCTGCTGCTGCTGCTGCTGCTGGGAATGGAGGGCAGTGGTGGGGAGGAGGAGGAGGAAGCCTTCTGGTGGGGAAGGAGGAGGAGGGGGGGGCTGCCAAGGGGAGAGCCCCCACCACCTTCAGGGGCAGAGCGCCAGAGCTTCAGGCAGTTCACCTACCAGGAGGCCTTGGGGCCCCGAGAGGCCTGCAGCCGCCTCCACTCTCTCTGCCGCCTGTGGCTGAAGCCCCAGCGACACTCCAAGGCGGAGATGCTGGACCTGGTCATCCTGGAGCAGTTCCTGGCCGTCCTTCCTGCCGAGATGGAGCGCTGGGTCAGGGAATGTGGGGCAGAGACCAGCTCCCAGGCCGTGGCCTTGGCTGAAGGCTTCCTCCTGAGTCGGGCCCAAGAGGAGAAGGAGACACAGGTGAGAGAGAGAAGATCATCCCCACGCTTGCAAAGAGCCAGGAACGCTTGCAATGAGGGAAGCCGAACTCCAGATCCTTCCCTCTCCTCTTTCCCTTATTTTCTGATCATTTATATCTGTGTCCCTTTGGTGTTTTTTCAGGCGGCGGACTTGTGTGCAGAAGTGGCCTCCGCCTTGGAAAGGCCTCCCTCCACCTTCAGCTGGATGCCGGATTGTGCAGGACAAATGGAACCACCCAGCTCCACAAGTAAAGACCCAGCGACACTTGGGTGGCTCAACTACACTCCTTTTCAGTCTTTGTGGCTCAGTTAACATATCTATATAAATAAAAATATAATGTTCATTTGTGAGATTAACATAACTAGTGGGTGAATTGACACCAAATTTTGACACAATTCACCTATCAGGCCAACAAGTGACCATCACTCATAAAAACACTGAAAAACACAGCAGAGACTTAAAAAGCCAAAAAACAAAAACAAAAACATTACAACACATGCGCAAAACCACATATATACACAAACACACATATATACACATATACACAAATATATACACACACATATATACACACACAAAACACATATACACAGACTGGGCCACAGCAATGCGTGGCAGGGGATGTCTAGTATATATATGTGTGTGTGTGTGTGTGTGTGTGTGTGTGTGTATGGAAGGGATGTACTGAACATGAGTAAACAGTACAATCAAACAGAGGATGGCCAGAGATGTCACTGCCTTGGTCCTTTCACTATTGGCTGCTACTTCCCGGCAGATGTCAGGTGGTGCAATACCGGCTAGATAGTGTAATTTCTCCAGTGGTGTAGGGCGCAGGCACCCCGTGATAATGCGGCATGTCTCATTAAGAACCACATCCACTGTTTTTGCATGGTGAGATGTGTTCCACACTGGACATGCATACTCAGCAGCAGAGTAGCACAGCGCAAGGGCAGATGTCTTCACTGTGTCTGGTTGTGATCCCCAGGTTGTGCCAGTCAGCTTTCGTATGATATTGTTTCTAGCACCCACTTTTTGCTTGATGTTCAGGCAGTGCTTCTTGTAGGTCAGGGCACGGTCCAGAGTGACTCCCAGGTATTTGGGTGTGCTGCAATGCTCCAGTGGGATTCCTTCCCAGGTGATCTTCAGAGCTCGGGGTGCTTCTCTGTTCTTGAGATGAAAGCACATGTATGTGTTTTAGATGGATTAGGGATCAGCTGGTTTTCCCTGTAATAGGCAGTAAGAGCACCTAGAGCTTCGGAGAGCTTCTGTTCAACCATCTCAAAGCTCCCTGCTTGAGCAGTAATGGCACGATCATCTGCATAGATGAAACCCTCTGTCCCTTCTGGCAGTGGCTGGTCATTTGCGTAAATGTTGAACATTGTTGGCACAAGCACCTCCCCTGTGGCAGGCTGTTCTGTTTCCGCCATCTGCTTCTCTGGCCCTGGAACTCAACAAAAAAGCTCCTGTTTTGTAGCAGGTTTCCTATGAGGCGGGTGAGGTGGTAGTCCTTTGTGATATTATACATTTTCTCAGGAGGAGGCGGTGGTTCACAGTATCATAGGCTGCTGACAGGTCTATGAAGACAGCTCCTGTGATCTGCTGCCTTTCAAAGCCATCTTCTATGTGCAGAGTCAGGTTCAGCACTTGCGATGTGCAGCTTGTGCCTTTCCTGAAGCCAGCTTGCTGTGGAATCAGACATGGGTCTATTTTTTCCATAATTCTATGCAAAATAAGTCTCTCCAGAACTTTGTAAAGGTGGCTCAACAAGGAGATTGGTCTATAACTTTTTGGATCATTACGGTCTTTGCCTGGCTTCAAGATGGCAATGACCCTTGCTTTCCTCTAGATTTTGGGGATCTGACAGGATGCAGTCCAGTTGTTCATCAGCTCCAGCAGCCAGCACCTTGCTTTTGGACCAAAGTTCTTGATTTGTTCCATCCGTAGATCATCCAGGCCAGGTGCTTTGCCATTTTTACATTTATTGAGAGCCATGTCCAGTTCAGTAGATGTAAAGGGTTCATGAAGGTTGTTGTTCTCAATCTCTGGTTGTCTGGCTATTGGTTTCTTTCCTACTTTGGTGGCAAGGTTGGGTTTCCCATTCTTCAAGAGTTGGTGTGCTATCTGATCTGCCTTTATGTTGGCATGGGTATTAGTTTGTGAGGGGTCATTGCTCAGCCGTCTTAGCAGCCTCCACGCCTTCTGGCTGCTCCTGCCCATGTCGACCTCTGTGATCAGCTTGATCCACTGTTCTTTCTTGGCTTCAGAGATGGAGGACACAATGCTCTGCGGTGCCTGAAGGGTTTGCTCACTAAATGGGTCTTCGTTGTGGAGCCTGTAGTAGTTTTCCAGCAAGGCAGCTGTTTCAGGAGTAATGCCCTGAAGGTAGTTGGTTCTGCAGCCTCTCGGTATAGAGGCCCGTGAGCAGGTTTTCACTATTTTAATGAAATGCTCGTATTCCTCAGGGACTGGCGCAACCGATATGATCATGTGATTTAACATGTCTGAGAATTTAGTCCAATCTGCCTTTCTGAAGTTGAATCTTCATTTAAATCGAACGTCCTGGGGCCTTATAGTTGGGAACAGTTGGCATACCATTGGTCAGTGCTGTGTGTTTGGAATTGGTGGTCCCACTGATTTAGTGCGATGCTGTACAATGCTGTTGCTCACAAATAAGAGGTCTGGGTTATATCCTCGGTGCCATCTGCTGCTGTTGTAGGATGGTGGGAGCTTACTATCATGAATGAGTGGTAGTTTGTGCCCAGGGAGCTGGGTAAGAACCTATTTTTGAGTACCAGGTGGGAGAGAAAGCACTGTCTGTTAGTATTGAGTATAGTTTTCTTACACAGAAGTTTACCTCACACAGACTGAGGAGTTTCCTCACTGAGGCAAACTAACACTAACAAGCTTTGGCCTACCCACTCTTTCAGTGCTTCACTCACACTTTTGTATTCAAAAATAGCTAGTTAATATTTAATATTTCTGAGAAATACACGGGTCCTATAGAAAATCAAGCTTGAATGCCTCCTAGAAGCCAAGGTGACTGAACCGACATAGTTGTAATGTGGCCATATCACAATTACACAGGGCTCACTAGAAAATACAATCTTAGTAAGAGGGAAGGCAGTGGGGAAAGAGGGAGATTGAATTGCTGGGGGATGGACTCCACCAAGGGAGACGTGGCTGTCCCGAATCTCCAAGACCTGAGCAGACCTGGCTTGGAGGTCCCTCAGTCATGGAATCTCCATCAGTCAAAGTTGGCCTGAAGGCACTTGCCAACAATAACATCTCTTCATCCCCGGCCTTGCTCAGGTCTTGCCTTCCATGATTGAATATAGTATCATAAAATAAATACAATCCTAGAGTTGGAAGAGCCCACAAGGGCCATCCTGTCCCAGCTCCCTGCCATACAGGAATACACATTGAAAGCACTCTTGACAGATGGCCATCCAGCCTCTGTTTGAAAACCTCCAGAGAAAGAGACTCCACCACACTCTCAAGTCGCAGTGTATTCCATTGTTGAACAGCTCTTACCATTAGGAAGATGGTACCACCAGAAATGGAGGCCAATAAAATACCCTTGCCTTTTCTATTCCTGCAGGATGTGGATCAGAACCAACACATACTGGATTACCTTTTCCTTCTGACTCACGCAGCACACCTTTTGTGACACCAGATCAGGTAGGTGAGAGAATCCCTGATGGGCCAAGAAGGGCTCAGGCTTCCGGCGTCCTCTTTGCATTCCCATTTCCCCTCTTTCCACCCAAGATGCCTGCAGCAAAGTCCCTGTGTCAAGATGGACATCTAACTCGGCCACCAGAAGCAATGGGTTTTCTGGCTGGGGTCAGTGTGTCCTGCTTACCAATCATGTTTCTCTGTCCAGGTGACCTTCCAAGAGGTGGCTGTGTCCTTCAGTGAGGAGGAGTGGGCCCTGCTGAATCCGGACCAAAGGTCCTTGTATCAGGAGGTCATGGAGGAAATTCTGGAGACTGTGTCCTCTTTAGGTAAGGCTCCCTCTTGTGTAAGAAAGTATTAGTCACAACATGACATAGCGGCATAATGTCACTTAAGGGGGGGGGGGGGGAGTACTCTCCAGGTTTTGCATAAGTTTGCAGCAGGATAAATTTACATTAAGTTTACCATTCAACTATAGCACCTTTCTGTAGATTCGACATGATGTGTGTGTGTGTGTGTGGGGGGGGGATTCCCAGGTGTCGTTTCAATGTTCAAACAGGTTGAAAAGATAACTGGTTGTTTCCATCATTTTGTACAGCAAATGTCATTTTTACCATTGTTCTTGCTGTCATTGTTGTGTACCTTGAAGTCATTTCTATTTTATGCCAAGCTTTAGACAAACCTATCACATGGTTTTCTGAAGCTCATGTTGTGTGTTTCGCTCAAGGTCACTCAGTAGGTTTCCATGACTGAGCAAGGAATCAAACATAGTGTCTAGAGGAGCCATTACCCAATGTATAAATCACTCCAATTGAGAGGTCGTTCCTTTTTTTCTGATGCCCATCATTTAGTAATCATCAAACAACAAAAACCCAAAAAATAATTAGCTCTTTAGGCTGCAGTCTATCAGAGTTGTCACAAAATATGGGGAGAAGTCCTGTTTCTGGATCAACAAGAACTGATTGTTTATAATTTTGTTATTAGAAAATCTTTATTTTTTTTTGAAAATGCAGAAATAGGCACTCTCTTTGTCATAGTTAATCAGATCAATCTGTAACTAAAGCATGCGCCCTGTCTTTTCATATCATGGTTTCACCCACCCAAGCCTGGGGAAAGTGTTAACTTCTACATGATTTTACAGTTCGCTGCCCCTTGAAGTTAACATTTAGTCTTGCTAAGGAGGGTACACCCAGGTGTAATTCTTGGAAGTTGCAATTTTTAAATAACCCTAGAAGGAAACTTTTGAAGTGAAAGAAGTTCAACAGTGGGATTGATTGCCTAAATTGCTGGTGAGCACTTTATGCCTATTAAGATTTTGTTTTTTAAATATGTGTTCCCATTGTATTTGTTGTCAAGCAAATCACGGAGAAGGGGAACCATCTCAATACCGGGACTGTGGAGAGAATCAGGAGCTGTGTCTCTCTCGTCAGCAAGCAATGACCACTAAGAGGAAGCCCTTCAAGTGCTTGCAGTGGGGAAAATGTTTCCGCCAGAGGAAAAGCATTGCTAAGAATCAAGCAACTCACACCAGAGAGAAAAAGTTCAAATGCTTGGAGTGTGGAAAGTCTTTTATTCGAAAGGGATATCTCACTACTCATCAAAGAATTCACTCAGGGGAAAAACCGTTTAAATGCTTGGAATGTGGGAAGAGTTTCACTTATAAAACAAGCCTCACCTATCATCAAGCAATCCATTCTGGGGAGAAGCCATTTAAATGCTTGGGGTGTGGGAAAGGCTTCATTGAGAAGAAATGCCTGACTTCTCATCAAACAATTCACTTAGGGGAGAAACGGTTTAAATGCTTGGAATGTGGGAAGAGTTTCAATTATAAAACAAGCCTCACCTATCATCAAGCAATCCATTCTGGGGAGAAGCCATTTAAATGCTTGGAGTGTGGGAAAGGCTTCATTGAGAAGAAATGCCTGACTTCCCATCAAACAATTCACTCGGGGGAGAAACGGTTTAAATGCTTGGAATGTGGGAAGAGTTTCACTCAAAAGTTAGGCCTCACCTATCATCAAACAGTCCATTCTGGGCAGAAGCCATTTAAATGTTTGGAGTGTGGGAAGAGTTTTACTCATAAGTCAAGCCTCACCTATCATCAAGCAGTCCATTCTGGTGAGAAGCCATTTAAATGCTTGGAGTGTGGGAAAGGCTTCATTGAGAAGAAACGCCTGACTTCTCATCAAACAATTCACTCGGGGGAGAAACCCTTTAAATGCTTGGAATGTGGAAAGTCTTTTACTCGGAAGGCACGTCTCACTTCTCATCAAACAATTCACTCTGGGGAGAAAACCTTTAAATGCTTGGAGTGTGGAAAGAGTTTCACTCATAAGTTAAGCCTCACCCATCATCAAGCAGTCCATTCTGGGGACAAGCCATTTAAATGCATGGAGTGTGGGAAGGGCTTCATTGAGAAGAAACGCCTGACTCATCATCAAGCAATTCATACTGGTGAGAAGCCATTTAAATGCTTAGAGTGTGGGAAGAATTTCACGCACAAGGTAGGCCTCAGTAATCATCAAGCTACTCATACTGGGGAGAAGGCATTTAAATGTTTGGAGTGTGGAAAGAGTTTCAGTCAGAAGATACACCTGAGTAATCACCAAGCTATTCATACTGGGGAGAAGCCATTTAAATGCTTGGAGTGTGGAAAGGGCTTCAGTCAGAAGACACGTCTAACTTATCATCAAGCAATTCATACTGGGGAAAAACCATTTAAATGCTTAGAGTGTGGGAAGGGCTTCGCTCACAAGATAAGCGTCACCAAACATCAAATTACTCATACCAGGGGGAAGCCATTTAAATGCTTGGAGTGTGGGAAGAGTTACACTCAGAAGACGGGTCTAACCAATCATGAAGCTACTCATACTGGGAAGAAGCCATTTAAATGCTTGGAGTGTGGAAAAAGTTTCACTGAGAAGAAAAGCCTCATCTATCATCAAGCTACTCATAGTGGGAAGAAGCCATTTAAATGCTTGGTGTGTGGAAAGAGTTTCACTGGGAAGAAAAGCCTCACCTATCATCAAACGACTCATACTGGGGAAAGGCCATTTAAATGTTTGGAGTGTGGAAAGGGCTTCATTCAGAAAAGAAATCTGAGTTGTCACCAAGCAGTTCATACTGGGGAGAAACCATTTAAATGCTTGGACTGCGGGAAGGGCTTTGCTCACAAAATAAGCCTTACCAATCATCAAGCTACTCATACTGGGGAGAAGCCATTTAAATGCCTGGAGTGTGGAAAGGGCTTCATTCAGAAGAGATATCTCAGTTGTCACCAAGCAAGTCATACTGGGGAGAAACCATTTAAATGCTTGGAGTGTGGGAAGGGCTTCGCTCACAAGAAAAACCTTACCAATCATCAAACTACTCATACTGGGGAGAAGCCATTTAAATGCCTGGAGTGTGGAAAGGGCTTCCCATACAAGGAAAAGCTCACACAACATCGAAGAATCCACACTGGAGAAAAACAATTTCAATGCTTGGAATGTGGAAGAAGTTTCAAACAGAAGAAAAGCCTCCATCTTCATCAAGTGAAACACACAGGGGAAGAAAAACCGTTTAAATACCCTTTTGCCAGTAGAAACACCTCCCTCCTTTTCCCTCATCCAAACCATGAAGAGACTGAATGTCTACAATAAGGAGAAATAACTTTAAAATTCTATTTCTTTGTTGTTCTTTTTTCAGGCATGACTGGAAGTTTAAAAAATATTTCTTTCTGAACAAACTTGCTTCTTTATATGAAATATCAAAACAAGTGTTGCTGAAAATAAGACAGAAGGTCAAAAAAGAGGTTTCAAGCTAGATAAGATTCATATCCAGGAATGTGAAGTATGTCTTGGGACTCCACTTTTTCCCCCTACAAAGAGGGCTCAAAGCAGTTGTTCTCTTTGCTCTTCTTTGATGAGCATGAAAAGATGTCTGCTGTGGGTTAGATGGATAGCTAGGCCTTGTTCACTTTCCTATCTAGTGATGTTCTTTTAATAAAGTCTATTATAACTCGTTAAGCTTGATTCTGCTCCTGAATTGCTTAAGCTCAATTGCTCTGTTGCTGCCACCAGAAGCTTCTCGTTTGCTGAACGGCTACTGCTACATCTGTTGCTGCTGATTTATCTTTTTTGAGTGCTTTCTCCTTTTAGAAGATTTAGAAGTATTTAAGTGGGTTAAATATATATCTCAAACAAATTATATATTTAGTTTTTAATTAAAACATTTTCAGTTGGTTTTTTTTAAAAAAAATTACTAGCTTGTTTATCCGGCAATAAAAAAGCATTGTTTGTTTTGGTGTGAAAGGTAATATTGTTTAGTTAATTAGTAACACTATTACTAATTAATAGTAATTGTGATAGTAATAGTAATACTAATAGTAACTGCGGTGGCGCAGTGGGTTAAAGCACTGAGCTGCTGAGCTTGTTGATCGCAAGGTTCGATTCCGGGGAGCAGCGTGAGCTTCCGCTGTCAGCCCTAGCTTCTGCCAACCTAGCAGTTCGAAAACATGCAAATGTGAGTAGATCAATAGGTACCGCTCCGGCGGGAAGGTAACGGCGCTCCATGCAGTCATGCCGGCCACATGACTTTGGAGGTGTCTACGGACAACGCTGGCTCTTCGGCTTAGAAGTGGAGATGAGCACCACACCCCAGAGTCAGACATGACTGGACTTAATGTCAGGGGATTACCTTTACCTAACACTATTTATTAGAAAAAAAACAGTTTTTGAGTTGTTTTTTTTTATGAATGCCCCCATTAGAAAATGCATAAGGATGTGGTGAACTACAATTCCCAGAATCGTGGGCCCAAACCAGGTCTGTGTGCACAGTTGCCCATGTTGAATTTATCTTCCAGGTTTGGTGCAAATCCGACATTGGCTGGGTTTGAGTGCTCTCTGGATACAGATGAACTACAATTCCCAGATTCCCAGGGCAGTCACCCCCAAACCCTGTCTTTATTCACAGTTGGGCCTGTTGCATCTGTTTGCCAAGTTTGTTGAGCTACAACTCCTATAAATCAAGGTCAATTCTGTCAATGTAAGATTAATGTAATGTGAATGTTTAAATGTAATTTTTGTGCAATGCCTGTGAATGTAATTATGTGAATGTAATTATGTGAATGTGAATTAGCAGAGAGTATATTGACACTGAAAGGGTTAAACAGTCAAGCCTTTAATGAGCTGTGAAGATGTGACCCTGAGTTTGCCTTGAGCACGTAGGGAGGATCCAAAGATAAGGTTTCGTTCGTCCTTCTTACTTCTGTGTGTTTTTTGTCTTGTTTCTGTCTGTCTGGTTGGATGTAAATGTGAATGTGTGCTGTATATTTGATCTACTCAGTAAAGCTCAATGTTTGCTTTTACCGAAGTCTCAAAGTGTCCATTCTTCTAAGCTTCAAAGCTTCTGTCGCACTCTGACAAATTCCCCCCAAACCTCTTGCTCAGTTGCTGATCAATTCATCTAGGATGAAACTGTCCCCAAATGAAAGTATTCCTTGGGTGGTGGGCAGGATGGTGTTTGGGGAGGACAATGACAGGGATTGGGAGACATGTTCATGGGGCCTGTATAACCTGAAATGTCTTTGGAGGGAGTGCTTTGGGTTAAATCACTCTGGGTTAAAGCTGGGAGGCTGTCTGTGTAAGTGGACACCTCTGCCACATACACATATACACATTTTCACTTTAATTATGTGTATAGAAGATAGATAGATAGATAGATAGATAGATAGATAGATAGATAGATGATAGATAGATAGATCGATAGATGATACAGAAATAATTAATATAGCTTGAAGGTGATATAATGCAAATATGTTTGAATGGATTTACCTCTGAATCTTTTAATACTGTTGACATTTAATTCTGTTGTAATATTTGTATATTTTAAATGGTGTGCTCACGTTTTTATGTTACCGTAAGTTGTTTTGAGCCCCCTTTGGCGGAGATAAAGCAAGATATCAATAAATATGATAATAACAATAAATAATTAAGGGTGCTGAAGTGGTCCATGCCTTAGTCACCTCCAGATTGGACTACTGTAATGCGCTCTACGTGGGGCTGCCCTTGAAAACGGCTCGGAAATTTCAGTTGGTCCAACAGGCGGCAGCCAGGTTGTTAACTGGTGCTCCTTACAGGGAGCGGTCAACCTCCCTGTTTAAGGAGCTCCACTGGCTGCCATTCATTTTCCAGATCCAATTCAAGGTGCAAGTTCTTACCTTCAAAGCCCTGAACAGTTTTGGGACCTGCCTACCTGCGTGACCGCATTTCTGTGTACGAACCCACACGATCTCTTCGATCATCTGGAGAGGCCCTGCTCACGCTCCCACCTGCATCGCAAGTGCGATTGGTGGGGTCAAGAGAGAGGGCCTTCTCGGTGGTGGCCCCTCGACTCTGGAACTCACTCCCTAAGGACATCAGGCATGCCCCATCTCTGGCAGTCTTTAGGGGGAACCTGAAAACGTGGTTGTTCCAGTGCGCCTTCCCAGAATAATGAACCCAGCATTATTTTTTGAACTTCAATTACATTTGGCCCAGCCATAGATTTTAAATGTGCACTGTTCCTTGATTCCGGTGTAGATCCACCCAAGGAATTTGGAATCACCTAGGATGCATCTAGAGGACCTCAGTTTGGGAACTGCTGCCTTGTGTTATTTAAACCCTCTTGTGTTCATGGGTAAACCCCTTGAAAGCAGCATCTCACATGTATTTTGGAGGGAGGTTTTGCTAGTTGGCTTCCAAAGGGTTAAAGCAAAACATGTGGATTCCTAGAGGGGAAATGAATGGCCAATCAGATGCCTCCTCTTCTGGCCATGTGGAACTCTTCCTGGAGGAGGAGGAGTGTCTGGGAGACCCTTGGGAGGTTTCCTGACTTGGGGAGAGAGAGAGTGCCTTCCTTCCTTCCTTCCTTTCTTCCTTCCTTCCTTCCTTCCTTTCCAGAGGGGGCCATGGCTCTCCTGCTGCCCAGGTTGGAGCCTGGCTGCAAGGAGAGGCCGCAGGAGGGAAGCCAGCCCGGTGGTGCATCTTCAGGCCCAGCAGAGCCAAGCCAGGACCCTCCGCCTGCCTTTCCTGCTGCTGCTGCTGCTGGGAATGGAGGGCAGTGGTGGGGAGGAGGAGGAGGAAGCCTTCTGGTGGGGAAGGAGGAGGAGGAGGGGGGCTGCGAAGGGGAGAGCCCCCACCACCTTCAGGGGCAGAGCGCCAGAGCTTCAGGCAGTTCACCTACCAGGAGGCCTTGGGGCCCCGAGAGGCCTGCAGCCGCCTCCACTCTCTCTGCCGCCTGTGGCTGAAGCCCCAGCGACACTCCAAGGCGGAGATGCTGGACCTGGTCATCCTGGAGCAGTTCCTGGCCGTCCTTCCTGCCGAGATGGAGCGCTGGGTCAGGGAATGTGGGGCAGAGACCAGCTCCCAGGCCGTGGCCTTGGCTGAAGGCTTCCTCCTGAGTCGGGACCAAGAGGAGAAGGAGGAGGAACAACAGGTGAGAGAGGGAAGCTCATCCCCACGCTTCCAAAGAGCCAGGAACACATTATGAAGGGAGCCAAACTCCAGATCCCTCCCTCCCCTCTTTCCCTTGTTTTCTGATCATTTCTATCTGTATCCCTTTGGTGTTTTTCAGGCGGCGGACTTGTGCGCAGAAGTCTCTTCCGCCTTGGAAAGGCCTCCCTCCACCTCCAGCCGGATGCCGGATTGTGCAGGACAAAGGGACCCTCCCAGCTCCACAAGTACAGACCCAGGCACACTTGGGTGGCTCGACTCCACTCCTTTTCAGTCTTTGTGGCTCAATGAATGTATATCTGTATGAAAGGGATCCAGGAGCCTTTGGATACACAGGTTCTGCTGAACAGGAGGGACCAATGGAACGAAGCAGCTTAAAAACAATGCAGTTTTGGCTGCATCATTACAAGTGTCATGCCTAGTAGTGGAAGTTGTGTTGGATGGTGGCTGCCTTTACATGACAGCACTGCCAATTCACAGCAAACCGATCTTCAAGTTGTGCTTAAGTAGCTGTTTTTGCACATCAGGGCTGATCAACATGCATTCAGTCACTCTTCCAAGATAATTTCAGCCACGCGGTAATGTGCAGTGACTTTGAGGCCACTGATCTAGAAAGTGGGTGTGTTGTGGCTGTTCTTCCTCTCCACTGCGCTCGCCTACTCCCAGACTGCTCCCATTGTCACTACTTGTAGGCAGCCAGAGAATATATAAGCAACCTAAACATCCCTTATTTCTCCCCAATCACTTCCTTTAATAAATAAAATTAAATAACACAACAGCAGAGCTCTGTGGCTGTGCCCGGCCAAAGGAGATCAAATTGCTCATTGGTCTGGATATCATGAATCCCTACGAGGGGCATCTTAGGGAGCCAGGGATGATCAGCTTGGAGAAGAGCAGGCGAAGAGGGGAATACGTTGAAAGGATGTCACATAAATATACATATTGCTATGCTATTCCCATGCTGAGGACCTGTTTTTAAGTTCTATGTGGGTTAGGTACTGTTTTCTCTCCTCAATGTCCACCAAAAAAGTGTGTGGATAATGGGGAGAGAAATCTGTACCTAACCCATATAGCACTTAAAAGGAGAGGAAGGGGAGAAATTCCTCAAAGAGCCCAATGGGGATCAGAGTGTATAAAAGGGCTGAAGTCCCACTAACTTAACAGGCTTTGGCCCACTAACTTAACAGGCTTCTGCCTACTCACTCTTTCAGTGCTTGACTCACACTTTTGCAAAAAATTTTTGTCGTGTCAGGAGCAACTTGAGAAACTGCAAGTCGCTTTTGGTGTGAGAGAATTGGCCGTCTGCAAGGACGTTGCCCAGGGGACGCCCGGATGATCTGATGTTTTTATCATCCTTGTGGGAGGCTTCTTTCATGTCCCCGCATGAAGAGCTGGAGCTGATAGAGGGAGCTCATCCGCCTCTCCCCGGATTCGAACCTGCGATCTGTCGGTCTTCAGTCCTGCCGGCACAGGGGTTTAACCCACTGTGCCACCAGGGGCACTTTTGTAATTAAAAATAGCTAGTTAATATTTAATATTCCTGACAAATACACGGGTCCTAGAGAAAATCAAGCCTGAATGCCTCCTAGAAGCCAAGGTGACTGAACCGACATAATTGTTATGTGGCCATATCACAAATACACAGGGCTCACTAGAAAAGACAAGTCTTAGTAAGAGAGAACATAGCAGGAAAAGAGGGAGACAGAATTGCAGGGGGATGGACTTCACCAAGGGAGACATGGCTGTCCTGAAACTCCAGGACCTGAGCAGACCTGGCTTGGAGGTCCCTCATTCATGGAATCTCCATCAGTCAAAGTGTTACCAACAATAACAACAACAACATCAGTCAAAGTGGCCTGAAGGCACTTACCAACAATAACAACAACAGCATCAGGCACTGCTCAGTTCTTGCCTTTCATGATTGAATATAGTATCATAAAATAAATGCAATGCTAGAATTGGAGGAGCCCACAAGGGCCATCCAGTCCCAGCTCCCTGCCATGCAGGAAGACACAATCAAAACACAGCTAATGGGTGGCCATCCAACCTCTGTTTAAAAGTTGCAGAGAAAGAGACTCCACCACACTCTCAAGTCACAGCATACTCCATTATTGAACAGCTCTTACCATTAGGAAGATGGTACCACCAGAAACTGAGACCATGGCCAATAATACACCGTTGTCTCTTCTATTCCCGCAGGAGGTGAATCAGAACCAACACATACTGGCTTACCTCTTCCTTCTGATGCATGCAGCACACCTTCTGTGACACCAGATCAGGTAGGTGAGAGAAGCCATGATGGGGCAAGAAGGGTTCAGGCTCCCAGCATCCTCTTTGCATTGCCAATTCCCCCAAGATTCCTGCAGCAAAGTCCCTGTGTAAAAATTGAGATCAATATTGGCCACCAGAAGCAACGGGTTTTCTGTCTGGGGTCAGCGTGTCAGCTTACCAATCATGTTTCTCTGTCCAGGTGACCTTCCAAGAGGTGGCCGTGTCTTTCAGTGAGGAGGAGTGGGCCCTGCTGAATCCAGACCAAAGGGCCTTGCATCAGGAGGTCATGGAGGAAAATCTGGAGACAGTATGCTATTTAAGTAAGGCCCTCTCTTTTATGAGTATTAGTCAAAACATGCCATAGCTGTATAATGTCCCTTTATGAGGGCAGGGTGAGAACTCCCCAGGTTTTGCATAGGTTCGCAGCAGGATAAATTTACATTAAGTTTACCATTCAATTATAGCACCTTTCTGTAGATCTGACATGATGTGGAGGGGGGCAGAAACACACAAGTGTCGTTTCAGTATTGAAACATGTTGAAAAGAAACTAGTTGTTTCCATCATTTTGTACAGCAAATGTCATTTTTACCATTGTTCTTGCTGTCATTGTTGTGTACCTTGAAGTCATTTCGATTTTATGCCAAGCCTTAGTGCTCACCAGCAATTTAGGGATAGACCTATCACAGGGTTTTCTGAGGTTCATGTTGTGTGACTTGCCCAAGGTCACTCAGTAGGTTTCCATAACTGAACAGGGAATCGAATATAGTGTCTAGAGGAGCCATAGCCCAAGGTATATACCACTCCAAATTGAGAGGTCTTCCCCCTTTTTTTGTAATGCCCATCAATTAGCAATCATCAAACAACAACAAAAAACCCGAAATAATTAGCTCTTTAGGCTGCAGTCTATCGGAATTGTCACAAAATATGGGGGAAAATCCTGTTTCTGGGTCAACAAGAACTGCTTGCTTATAATTTTGTTTATTATTAGAAATAACTTTTTTTGAAAATGCAGAAATAGGCACTCTTTTTTTCACAGGTAATCAGATCAGTCTGTAGCTATAGCATGTGCACTGTCTTTTCATGTCATAGTTTCACCCACCTGAGCCTGGGGAAAGTGGTATTTTATACATGATTTTACGGTTTGTTACCCCTGGAAGGTAGCATTTAATCTTGCTGAAGAGGGTACATCCAGGTCTCATCGTTGGAAGCTACAAGAAAGTAGATTTTGAGATAACTGTAGAAGAAAACTCTTGAAGTGAGAGTTCAACAATGGCATTGATTCCCTAAATTGCTGGTGAGCACTTTAATGATATCTATTAAGATTTTGTTTTTTAAATATGTGTTCCCATTGTCTTTGTTCTCAAGCAACAAACAGAGAAGGGGAACCATCTCAATACCACGACTGTGGAGGAAATCAAGAGCTGTGCCTCTCTGGTCAGCAAGCAACGTCCACTAAGAAAAAGCTCTTCAAGTGCTTGCAGTGGGGAAAATGTTTCCGTCAGAAGAAAAGCATTGCTAATCATCAACCAACGCACACCAGAGAGAAAGAGTTCAAATATTTGGAGTGTGGAAAGTTTTTAATTCGAAAGTCACACCTCACTTCTCATCAAACAGTTCACTTGGGGGTGAAACCCTTTAAATGCTTGGAATGTGGAAAGTCTTTTATTCAGAAGGCACACCTCACTTCTCATCAAACAATTCACTCGGGAGAGAAAACCTTTAAATGCTTGGAGTGTGGAAAGAGTTTCACTCATAAGTTAAGCCTCACCTATCATCAAGCAGTCCATTCTGGGGAGAAGCCATTTAAATGCATGGAGTGTGGGAAGGGCTTCATTCAGAAGATAAAGCTCACCTATCACCAAGCTACACATACTGGGCAGAAGCCATTTAAATGTTTGGAGTGTGGGAAGTCTTTTACTCAGAAGATAAGCCTCACCTATCATCAAGCTACTCATACTGGAGAAAAACCATTTAAATGCTTGGAGTGTGGAAAGCATTTCACTCATAAGTTAAGACTCACCTATCACCAAGCAGTCCATTCTGGGCAGAAGCCATTTAGATGCTTGGAGTGTGGAAAGCTTTTCACTCATAAGTTAAGCCTCACCTATCATCAAGCAGTCCATTCCGGGAAGAAGCCATTTAAATGCTTAGAGTGTGGAAAGAGTTTCATTCGTAAGTTAAGCCTCACCTATCATCAAGCAGTCCATTCTGGGAAGAAGCCATTTAAATGCTTGGAGTGTGGGAAGGGCTTCATTGAGAAGAAACGCCTGACTTATCATCAAGCAATTCATACTGGGAAGCCATTTAAATGCTTGGAGTGTATGAAGAGTTTCACGCACAAGATAGGCCTCACCAATCATCAAGCTACTCATACTGGGGAGAAGCCATTTAAATGCTTGGAGTGTGGCAAGAGTTTCAGTCTGAAGACACAACTGACCAAACATCAAGCTATTCATACTGGGGAGAAGCCATTTAAATGCTTGGAGTGTGGAAAGGGCTTCATTCAGAAGATACATCTGACCAATCATCAAGCTATTCATACTGGGGAGAAGTCATTTAAATGCTTGGTGTGTGGGAAGGGCTTCATTCGGAAGACAGGCCTTACCAATCATCAAGCTACTCATAGTGGGAAGAAACCATTTAAATGCTTGGTGTGTGGAAAGTGTTTCACTGAGAAGAAAAGCCTCGCCTATCATCAAGCTACTCATACTGGGGAGAAGCCATTTAAATGCTTGGAGTGTGGAAAAGGCTTCATTCAGAAGAGAAATCTGACCAATCATCAAGCAATACATACTGGGGAGAAGCCATTCAAATGCTTGGAGTGTGGAAAGGGCTTCATTCAGAAGAGACTTCTGACCAATCATCAAGCTATTCATACTGGGGAGAAGCCATTTAAATGCTTGGAGTGTGGAAAGGGCTTCATTCAGAAGACAAAGCTCACCTATCATCAAGCTACACATACTGGGGAGAAGCCATTTAAATGCTTGGAGTGTGGGAAGGGCTTCCCACACAAGGCAAAGCTAACAGAACACCAAAGAATCCACACTGGGGAAAGACCATTTCAATGCTTGGAGTGTGGAAGAAGTTTCAATCAGAAGAGACATCTGACCAATCATCAAGCTATTCATACTGGGGAGAAGCCATTTAAATGCTTGGAGTGTGGAAAGGGCTTCATTCAGAAGACAAAGCTCACCTATCATCAAGCTATTCATACTGGGGAGAAGCCATTTAAATGCTTGGATTGTGGGAAGGGCTTCCCACACAAGGCAAAGCTCACAGAGCATCAAAGAATCCACACTGGAGAAAAACCATTTCAATGCTTGGAGTGTGGAAGAAGTTTCAAACAGAAGAGTAGCCTCCATCTTCATCAAGCAAAACACACAGGGGAGAGAACCCTTTAAATGCCTGGAGCGTGGAAAGAACTTTTGCCAGTAGAGACACCTCCCTTCTTTTCCTTCATCCAAACCATGAGGAGATTGAACTTCTGTAATAAAAAAAGAGATTACTTTAAAATTCTTTTTCTTTGTTGTTTTTTCAGGAATGTCAGGAATTAAAAATAATTCTTTATGAACAAACTGGCTTCTTTATATGAAATATCAAAACAAGTGTTGCTGAAAATAAGACAGAAGGACAAAAAAGAGGTTTCAGGCTGGACAAGATTCATGGCCAGGAATATGAAGTACATGTTGGGACTCCACATTTCCCCCCCACAAAGGAGGATCCAAGCGGTTCTCTTTGCTCTTCTTCGATGAGCATGGAAAGATGTCTGCTGTGGGTTAGATGGATAGCTAGGCCCTGTTCACTTTCCTTTCTAGTGATGCTCTTTGGTAACGTGTTGGAGGAAAGTTCTGAGAGTGCTTTGGACTAAGAGATAATAACCATCAGATATATAAGCCCGACTGCTCATTGGAGGGAAGGATACTAGAGACAAAGTTGAAGTACTTTGGCCACATCATGAGGAGACAGCAAAGCCTAGAGAAGACAATGCTGGGGAATGTGGAAGGTAAAAGGAAGAGGGGCCGACCAAGGGCAAGATGGATGGATGGCATCCTTGAAGTGACTGGACTGACCTTGAAGGAGCTGGGGGTGGTGACGGCCCGACAGGGAGCTCTGGCGTGGGCTGGTCCATGAGGTCACGAAGAGTCGGAGATGACTGAACAAATGAGCAACAACATTATAACTGTTAAGCTTGACTCTGCTCCTGAATTGCTTAAACTCAATCGCTCTGTTGCTGCCGCCAGAAGCTTCTCGTTTGCTGAACGGCTACTGCTACAACTGTTGCTGCTGATTTACCTCTTTTGAATGCTTTCTCCTTTTAGAAAATTTAGAAATATTTAAGTGGGTTAAATATATATCTCAAACAAATTATATATTTAGTTTTTAATTAAAACATTTTTTTAAAAAAAAAAAAATACTAGCTTGGGTACCGGGTGATGAAAAAGGTATTGTTTATTTTGGGGTGAACAGTTATATCATTTATTTAATTACTAACACTATTTATTAGGAAAAAGCCGGGTTTTGATTTGTTTTTGTTTGTTTTTTAATGCTCCCATTAGAAAATACATAAGGATGTGGTGAACTACAATTCCCAAAATCATGGGTCAATCCTCCCCAAACCAGGCCTGTATGAAGTTGGCCATGTTGCATTGATGTGCCAGTTTGGTCCAAATCCGACATTGGCTGTGTTGAGTGCTCTCTGGATGCAGATGAACTACAACTCCCAGATTCCTAGGGCAGTCACCCCCAAACTCTGCCTGTATTCACAGTTGGGCATGTTGCATCTACGTGTCAAGTTTGTTGAGCTACAACTCCTATAAATCAAGGTCAATTCCCTCCAAATCTCTTGCTCAGTTGCTGATGAATTTGCTGTGTGCCATAGGAAAGGGTTAAGGGAAAGGCAGTGGGTGGGGTCATGCAAATTCCACACACATGGAGAGAGAGAAAGTAACGCTGAGATGTCCATTCTGAAGGAAAAACAGAAGATCTAGGATGAAATTGTCCCCGAATGAAAGCATTCCTCGGGTGGTGGGTAAGATAGTGTTTGGGGAGGACACTGGCAGGGATTGGGAGACATGTTCATGGGACCAGTATAACCCGAAATGTCCTTGGAGGGAGTGCTCTGGGTGGCACTCTGGGTTAAAGCTGTTTGTGGAGGCGGGAGGCTGTCCGTGTAAGTGGACACCTCCACCACATACACACTTTCACTTTAATTATGAAGATGGATAGATGACACAGAAATAACTAATTTATCTTGAAGGAGATATAATGCAAATATGTTTGAATGGTTTTAACTCTGAATCTTTTAATACTCTTTACATTTAATTTTGTTTTAATATTTGTATATTTTAACAGCGCTCCATGCAGTCATGCCGGCCACATGACCTTGGAGGTGTCTACGGACAACAATGGCTCTTCGGCTTAGAAATGGAGATGAGCACCACACCCGAGTCAGACATGACTGGACTTAATGTTAGGGGACTACCTTTACCTTTTTTTATATTTTAAATGGTGTGCTCACATTTTTATGTTAAGTCACTTTGAGACTCTCTTTAAACAGACAAGGGTTCTATCTCCTACTCTGGACATTGCATAGGTATATATACACCCACTTGCCTCATTTCCAAGAGAGCTCTGCACAAACTTCTAAGGATGCCAGCCACAGATGCAGGTGAAACGTCAGGAGAGAATGCGATTGGAACATGGCCATACAGCCCGAAAAACTCACAGCAACCTAAGATCAATACTAAAGTCTAAGGCCCCAGCATAGCCCTCCCAGGATCCATCCACACTGAAGAATTAATGCAGTTTGACAGCACTTTCGATTGCCATGCCTCAGTACTATGCAATCCTGGGAGTTGTAGTTTGGGGTGGCCCCTGCATTCCTTGGCAGAGAAGGCTAAGGACATTGCAGCTCCTGTCCTCATGATTCCATTGCATTGAACCATAGGAGTAAAAGTGGTGTCAAGACTGCATTGAGTCCCGTATAAATTCACCCAAGGACTTTAGAATCACCTAGGATGCACCTATTATATACTGTAAGCGTGTATGCTGTATGATAACACTGAGAATATCATTATTTAGTATATGGGAACCTGGGATTTGTAGTTTGGGGAAGCCCTAGCCCTCTTTGGCAGAGAAGGCTAAAGAGCAAGCTTGTAGAACTACAACTCTCAGGAATCCACAGCATTGAGCCAGGGCTATTGAAGTGGTGTCAAGCTGCATTCATTCTACAGCAAGCATCCTCAAACTGCGGCCCTCCAGCTGTTTGCGCCTTCAACTCCCAGAATTCCTGACAATGGAACAAGCCCGTTAGGAATTCTCGGAGTTGGAGGCCCAAACATCTGGAGGGCCGCAATTTGAGGATGCCTGTTCTAGAGCATAGAGTCACCCAAAGAAGCTGAGGCTGGAGAAACAGGAGAGGTTCCTTAAGGGAAGTGTTGCCTATTTCTCTGGTTTTCTTTTCCATTGCTGGAAGGTGTGGTGTTTTAAAGAAGCAGCTCTGAGCAGGTAGTAACAGTAACGCCCAAATATTGCCAGTGGCTTCCTCTGAATCCTACTGGGATTCATTGGTGTCTCCCATCCAAGCACTACCAGAGCTACTCCTTCTTAGCTTCCAAGGACAGAAAGTGTCCTGGTGCCTTTAAGGCAGTGTCCCAATGTTTTGGACTTCATCATCTCCCAGAAGCCTCATCTTCCTTGGCCAAGGATTGTGTATTGTGGAGATTAAAGTCCAAATATTAAGAGGTCCTCAGTTTGGGAACTGCTGCTTTGAGTTCTTCGAACCCTCCCCTTGTCCTGGGAAAATCCCTTGAAAGCAGCCTCTCCCCATGTCTTCCAGAGGGAGGTTTTGCTAGTTGACTTCCAAAGAGTTAAAGCTAAACATGTGGATTCCTAGAGAGTAAGTGAATGGCCAATCAGAGGCCTCCTGCAGGCTAGGCCCCTCCTCTTCTGGCCATGTGGAACTCTTTCTGGTGGTGGTGGAGGAGTGGCTGGGAAAGCCTTGCGAAGTTTCCTGACTTGGGGAAAGAGTGCCTTCCTTCCTTCCTTCCTTCCTTCCTTCCTTCCTTCCTTCCTTCCTTCCTTCCTTCCCAGGGGGAAGGGGAGATGGCTCTTCTGCCCAGGTTGGAGCCTGGCTGCAAGGACAGGCTGCAGGAAGGAAGTCAGCCCAGTGGTGCTTCAGGTTCAGCAGAGCCAAGCCAGGACCCTCCACCTGCCTTTCCTGCTGCTGGGAATGGAGGGCAGTTGTGGGGAGGAGGAAGCCTTCTTGTGGGGAAGGAGGAGGGGGGGCTGCTAAGGGGAGAGCCCCCACCACCTTCAGGGGCAGAGCGCCAGAGCTTCAGGCAGTTCACCTACCAGGAGGCCTTGGGGCCCCGAGAGGCCTGCAGCCGCCTCCACTCTCTCTGCCGCCTGTGGCTGAAGCCCCAGCGACACTCCAAGGCGGAGATGCTGGACCTGGTCATCCTGGAGCAGTTCCTGGCCGTCCTTCCTGCCGAGATGGAGCGCTGGGTCAGGGAATGTGGGGCAGAGACCAGCTCCCAGGCCGTGGCCTTGGCTGAAGGCTTCCTCCTGAGTCGGGCAGAAGAGGAGAAAGAGAAGGGACAACAGGTGAGAGAGAGAGAAGATCATCCCCATGCTTGTCATGAAAGGAGCGAAACTCCAGATCCCTCCCTCCCCTCTTTCCCTTATTTACTGATCATTTCTATCTGTGTCCCTTTGATGTTTTTTCAGGCGGCGGACTTGTGTGCAGAAGTGGCTTCCGCCTTGGAAAGGCCTTCCTCCACCTCCAGCCGGTTGTCAGATTGTGCAGGAGAAAGAGACCCTCCCAGCTCCATAAGTAAAGACCCAGTGACACTTGGGTGGCTCGACTCCACTCCTTTTCAGTCTCTATGGCTCAATGAACACATATGGAAGGGATGTCCTGAACATGAGTAAACAGTACAATGAAGCAGCTTAAAAATCAAGCATTTTTGCTGCATCGTTAGGAGTGTAGTGCCTTGGGATGTGAGCTGTGTTGGCTTTGCATGATAGCACCATTAACTCCTCCCAACGTGGCTTCAGCTAATGAATTAAAGGCTGCAAGGTACCCTTTTCTAGGCATGGCTGCCAATTTGCTACCGGGCACAATTCAAGGTGCTGGCGTTAGCCTATAAAGCCCTAAACGGTTCTGGTCCTACTTACCTCTCCGAACGCATCTCCACCTATGAACCGACTAGGACATAAAGATCGTCCGGGGAGGCCCTGCTCTCGGTCCCGCCTGCGTCACAGGCGCGGTTGGCGGGGACGAGGGACAGGGCCTTCTCGGTGGTGGCCCCTCGGCTATGGAATGCCCTACCTGTAGACATCAGACAGGCCCCTTCGCTGCTGGCGTTTCGGAAGAAGGTTAAGACCTGGCTCTATGAACAAGCGTTTGGCTAAACAGTGCAACTGAATATAGGAGGACGGTAAAATTTGATCTCAGGAATGGCACAAGGATTACGAGAACGGATTCTGATTTCATATTGAGGCGTTATGAATTGTTAATGATTGTTTGATTTTGTTGTTGTATATGATGTGTTTTAATTGTTTAGGATATTGTTGTGATAGTATTGATATTATTGTGATAATTTTATTGTGTAAACCGCATTGAGTCACCTTATCAGGCTGAAAAATGCGGTATAGAAATAAAGCAAATAAATAAATAATAAAGCTGCACAGTGAAGAACGCCGATTTGAAATGGGCTGGAGGAGAGTTGTGTGGATGCCATCAGCTAAACAAGAAAATACTGTTGGGCAAGTGGCCTTAATAACAGAATACTCTCCCCATAAATGCACAGCAGAGCTACTTAGCACCAGCATCGCGATCCAGAACCAGTAGTCCAAAGTGGCAAAAAGAACAGATCAATGTTATCCCTTCCATAGGAGGCATTTCTTTGTAGTAAAATAATATAGTTGCACTCTTTACAATAACAAGATTTCTATAACACCAATAAACAAATCCATTTTAGCTTTACACGCCGCAGTCCTATACTGGAGCTCCCTGACAAGGCTTCTCTTACACTGAAGTTTACCTCACACTGACTGAGGAGTTTCCTCACTGAGGCAAACTAACACTAACAGGCTTTGGCCTACCCAGTCTTTTAGTGCTTCACTCACACTTTTGTAATCAAAAATAGCTAGTTAATATTTAATATTCCTGACAAATACATGGGTCCTAGAGAAAATCAAGCTTGAATGCCTCCTAGGAGCCAAGGTGACTGAACTGACATAGTTGTAATGTGGCCATATCACAGTTACACAGGGCTCACTAGAAAATACAATCTTAGTAAGATAGAAGGCAGCAGGAAAAGAGGGAGATTGAATTGCAGGGGGATGGACTCCACCAAGGGAGACATGGCTGCCCTGAATCTCCAGGACCTGAGCAGACCTGGCAGGGAGGTCCCTCAGTCATGGAATCTCCATCAGTCAAAGTGGTCTGAAGGCACTTACCAATAACAATAACCACAACAACACCTCTTAATCCATGGCCTTGCTCAGTTCTTGCCTTTCATGATTGAAAATAGTATCATAAAATAACATAATCCCAGAGCTGGAAAAGCCCACAAAGGCCATCCAGTCCCAGCTCCCTGCCATTCACGAATACACATTCAACAAAAGCACTCCTAATAGATGGCCATCTAGCCTCTGTTTAAAAACCTCCAGAGAAAGAGACTCCACCACACTCTCGTAACAGCATACTCCATTATTTAACAGCTCTTACTATTAGGAAGATGGTACCACCAGAAATGGAGGCCAATAAAAATACCTTTGCCTTTTCTCTTCCTACAGGAGGTGAATCAGAACCAACACATACTGGCTTACCTCTTCCTTCTGATGCACGCAGCGCACCTTCTGTGAAACCAGATAAGGTAGGTGAGAGAATCCCTGGTGGGCCAAGAAGGGCTCAGGCTTCCGGCATCCTCTTTGCTTTCCCATTTCCCCCTCTTTCCAACCCAAGATGCCTGCAGCAAAGTCCCTGTGTAAAGAATGACATCTAACTCGGCGTCCAAAAGCAATTGGTTTCTGGCTGGAGTCAGCGTATCCTGCTTACCAATAATGTTTCTCTGTCTAGGTGACCTTCCAAGAGGTGACCGTGTCTTTCAGTGAGGAGGACTGGGCCTTGCTGAGTACGGACCAAAGGGCCTTGCATCAAGAAGTTATGGAGAAAAATCTGGAGATGGTGTCCTCTTTAAGTAAGGCTTCCTCTTGTATAAGGAAATATTAGTCGTAATACTCGTAAGTTAAGCCTCACCCACCTGAGCTTGGGGAAAGTGGCATCTTCTACATGATTTTACAGTTTGCTACCCCTTGAAGTTAGCATTTAGTCTTGCTAAAGAGGGTATATCCAGGTCTTGGGAGTTACAAGAAAGTAGATTTTGAAGTAATCCTAGAAGGAAACTATTGAAGTAAAATAAGTTCAACAGTGGGATTCATTGCCTAAATTGCTGGTGGGTACCTTAATGATACCTATTAAGATTTTGTTTTTTAAATATGTGTTCCCATTGTCTTTGTTGTCAAGCAATTCGCGGAGAAGGGGAACCATCTCAATACTGGGACTGTGGAGAGAATCAGGAGCTGTCTCTCTCTCGTCAGCAAGCAATGACCACTAAGAGGAAGCCCTTCAAGTGCTTGCAGTGGGGAAAATGTTTCCGTCAGAAGAAAAGCATTGCTAAGAATCAAGCAACCCACACCAGAGAGAAAAAGTTCAAATGCTTGGAGTGTGGAAAGTCTTTTATTCGGAAGGGACATCTCACTACTCATCAAACAATTCACTCAGGGGAGAAACCCTTTAAATGCTTGGAATGTGGGAAGAGTTTCACTCAGAAAACAAGCCTCACCTATCATCATGCAATTCATTCTGGGGAGAAGCCATTTAAATGCTTGGAGTGTGGGAAAGGCTTCATTCAGAAGACAAGACTAACTTCTCATCAAACAATTCACTCGGGGGAGAAACCCTTTAAATGCTTGGAATGTGGAAAGTCTTTTATTCGGAAGGCACATCTCACTTCTCATCAAACAATTCACTCTGGGGAGAAAACCTTCAAATGCTTGGAGTGTGGAAAGAGTTTCACTCATAAGTTAAGCCTCACCTATCATCAAGCAGTCCATTCTGGGGAGAAGCCATGTAAATGCTTGGTGTGTGGGAAGGGCTTCATTCGGAAGAAACATCTGATTTACCATCAAGCAATTCATACTGGGGAGAAGCCATTCAAATGCTTGGAGTGTGGAAAAGGCTTCATTCAGAAGAGACATCTGACTTATCACCAAGCAATTCATACTGGGCAGAAGCCATTTAAATGCTTGGAGTGTGGAAAGCGGTTCACTCATAAGTTAAACCTCAACTGTCATCAAGCAGTCCATTCTGGGGAAAAGCCATTTAAATGCTTGGAGTGTGGAAAGCGTTTCACTCATAAGTTAAGCCTTACCTATCATCAAGCAGTCCATTCTGGAGTGAAGCCATTTAAATGCTTGGAGTGTGGAAAGACTTTCACTCGTAAGTTAAGCCTCACCCATCATCAAGCAGTCCATTCTGGGGACAAGCCATTTAAATGCTTGGAGTGTGGGAAGGGCTTCATTGAGAAGAAACGCCTGATTTATCATCAAGCAATTCATACTGGGGAGAAGCCATTTAAATGCTTGGAGTGTGGGAAGGGTTTCACGCACAAGATAGGCCTCAGCAATCATCAAACTACTCATACTGGGGAGAAGGCATTTAAATGTTTGGAGTGTGGAAAGAGTTTCAGTCAAAAGACACACCTGACTAAACATAAAGCTATTCATACTGGGGAGAAGCCATTTAAATGCTTGGAGTGTGGAAAGGGCTTCAATCAGAAGATACATCTGACTTATCATCAAGCAATTCATACTGGGGAAAAACCATTTAAATGCTTAGAGTGTGGGAAGGGCTTCGCTCACAAGATAAGTGTCACCAAACATCAAAATACTCATACCGGGGAGAAGCCATTTAAATGCTTGGAGTGTGGGAAGAGTTACACTCAGAAGATGGGTCTTACCAATCATCAAGCTACTCATACTGGGAAGAAGCCATTTAAATGCTTGGAGTGTGGAAAGAGTTTCACTGAGAAGAAAAGCCTCATCTATCATCAAGCGATTCATACTGGGGAGAAGCTATTTAAATGCTTGGAGTGTGGGAAGGGCTTCATTCAGAAGATACATCTGACTCGTCATCAAGCAATTCATACTGGGGAGAAGCCATTTAAATGCTTGGAGTGTGGGAAAGGCTTCGTTCAGAAGAGAAATCTCAGTTGTCATCAAGCAATTCATACTGGAGAGAAACCATTTAAATGCTTGGAGTGTGGGAAGGGCTTCGCTCACAAGATAAGCCTTACCAATCATCAAACTACTCATACTGGGGAGAAGCCATTTATATGCCTGGAGTGTGGAAAGGGCTTCCCATACAAGGCAAGGCTCACACAACATCAAAGAATCCACACTGTAGAAAAACCATTTCAATGCTTGGAGTGTGGAAGAAGTTTCAAACAGAAGAAAAGCTTCCATCTTCATCAAGTGAAACACACAGGGGAAAAAACACTTTAAATGCGCTTTTGCCAGTAGAAACACCTCCCTCCTTTTCCCTCATCCAAACCATGAGGAGACTGAACGTCTGCAATAGAGAGAAATAACTTTAAAATTCTATTTCTTTGTTGTTCTTTTTTCAGGAATGACTGGAATTTAAAAAAAATTATTTCTGAACAAACTTGCTTCTTTATATGAAATATCAAAACAAGTGTTGCTGAAAATAAGAAAGAAGGACAAAAAAGAGGTTTCAAGCTAGATAAGATTCATATCCAGGAATATGAAGTATATCTTGGGACTCCACTTTTTCCCTTCACAAAGAGGGCTCAAAGCAGTTGTTCTCCTTGCTCTTCTTCGATGAGCATGAAAAGATGTCTGCTGTGGGTTAGATGGATAGCTAGGCCCTGTTCACTTTCCTATCTAGTGATGTTCTTTTAATAAAGTCTATTATAACTCGTTAAGCTTGACTCTGCCCCTAAATTGCTTAAGCTCAATTGCTCTGTTGATGCCACCAGAAGCTTCTCATTTGCTGAACGGCTTACTGCTACAACTGTTGCTGCTGATTTATCTTTTTTGAGTGCTTTCTCCTTTTGGAAAATTTAGAAGTATTTAAGTGGGTTAAACATATATCTCAAACAAATTATATATGCAGTTTTTAATTCAAACATTTTAGTGGTTTTTTTTAAAAAAACAAAACAAACCAAAAACTACCTTTTGTACCCGGCAATACAAAAAGCCTTGTTTGTTTTGGTGTGAAAGGTAATATTGTTTAGTTAATTAGTAACACTATTTATTAGAAAAAAACCTAGTTTTTGATTTGTTTTTTGTTTTTTTATGAATGCTCCCATTAGAAAATGCATAAGGATGTGGTGAACTACAATTCACAGAATCGTGGGCCCAAACCATGTCTATGTGCACAGTTGGCCATGTTGAATTTATGTGCCAAGTTTGGTCCAAATCCAACATTGGCTGGGTTTGAGTGCTCTCTGGATACAAATGAACTACAACTCCCAGATTCCTAGGGCAGTCACCCCCAAACCCTGCCTGTATTCACAGTTGGGCATGTTGCATCTACGTATCAAGTTTGTTGAGCTACAACTCCTATAAATCAAGGTCAATTCCCTCCAAATCTCTTGCTCAGTTGCTGATGAATTTGCTGTGTGCCATAGGAAAGGGTTAAGGGAAAGGCAGTGGGTGGGGTCATGCAAATTCCACACTCATTGAGAGAAAGGAATCCTGGGATGTCCATTATGAAGGAAAAACAGAACATCTAGGATGAAACTGTCCCCGAATGAAAGCATTCCTTGGTTGGTGGGCAGGATGGTGTTTGGGGAAAGCATTGGCAGGGATTGGGAGACATGTTCATGGGGCCAGTATAACCTGAAATGTCCTTGGAGGGAGTGCTTTGGGTTAAATCACTCTGGGTTAAAGCTGGGAGGCGGTCTGTGTAAGTGGACACCTCCGCCACATACACATATACACATTTTCACTTTAATTATGTGTATAGACAATAGATAGATAGATGATACAGAAATAACTAATTTAGCTGGAAGGAGTATAATGCAAATATGTTGGAATGGTTTTAACTCTGAATCTTTTAATACTGTTTAGTGTTGACATTTAATTCTGTTGTAATATTTGTATATTTTAAATGGTGTGCTCACGTTTTTATATTAAGTTGTTTTGAGCCCCC